TTGAAATCGTAGGACAGCTGGGGCCAGACAGAGTCATGGACAAAGATAAAGAAAGAGCAACAGACCATTGCAGAGTAGTATGTGAACTTTCCTATTATGAAATTGTATTGGTCAACTTAGTCTGCAAAAGATACATGACTAGAGATATTTAATAGACAATTTCAGAACTTTGTCCTTTAAATCATGTTTCCTGCTACTCTTTCAAGTCACAAAGAATATGCAGAAGCACCAATGCTGGAGTCTGTGAGCCTACAAGGAGTATTCCAGCTGCTTAGGGGTGTACTCACTTTTGTTGCCAGCGGTTTGGACATTGATGTCTGTGTGATGTGTTATTTTGAGGGGACAGCAAATTTACACTGTTACACAATATGTACACTCGCTACTTCACATTGTAGCAAAGTGTCATTTCTTCAGTGTTGTCACATGAAAAGATATAATCAAATATTTACAAATATGTGAGGAGTGTACTCACTTTTGTGAGATACTGTATTATACAATGCAAATTTAAGCTTGGGTCGTTTAATAAAATGTAATTCATGCATCAGCATTCAGGTCCACCATTTAGGTGTTCATTATCATCGAGCCATACGTCAATGGAATAACAGAGCTGGAGCGTTTATTTTCTCAGCTCCCTCCATTCATCAATCCCATCATTCCTGCTAAAGCATGAACCCTCACGTCACATGTGTTTCACTCGGCCTGTGTGTTTCCTCTGTGCGGAGTAATCAAAGCAGTTGATCACACAAATCCAGACGACTCAGACAGTGTTTAGGTCCTAATCAGACCGCAGGAACTCCATCTCTTTCTGTGGTTCAGACACACAATAATCCCATGTCAGTCAAACATATCTGCGCAAACACACATGTGCTGCTTTCATAAGTTTCACACACATAAACAATCTTGTTATGATTTCCTCTCTTCTTTTATCTGTCTGTCCAACTCTGTCTTATGCACATACGGGAGCAGTGGGGTAAACCTATTTCCACCTGTTTCTGATTACTCTAATTGGCCAGTGAGGTTGAGGAAATGTGTGACAGCTGAATCTGGGGTAGCAAAACTGACTGAGTGGAAAACTAACCAAGCACCTATGTGAGAGAAGTTGTACAGGCATTTGGAGTCAGGGTTTGCTCCCTTGTGTGTGTGTGTGTGTGTCATAAATCATTGATTTATCCCAGTCACTCTTTAGCACACACACACACACACAAAAAGATTTTACAGAACGCAGAGCCTGGCTGACTCACCGAGTGATGCCAAGTGTGAGACTGGATAAATGGAGCACAGTGGTGATAAGTTAATAAACCATCTCAAGCCATACGAATCAATCAGTCACACTCATTAGTTGGTATTGTTGAAGCCTGTCCCAATGATGCCCTCTCACCAAAGTCAAAATAGCTTCATTGGGGCTGGAAAGTAGCTGAAGTGGTCATTCGTTCACACATAAGGAAATATACAGGGCAGGCGATGGAAGTAATCAGCGAGGAAGAGTAATGAAGAGTGTCAGAAAAAGCCATAAAGATCTTTGGGTTATTTAGACCTGATCCAGGACCACACATTAACATTAACATGGCAAACTGCAAATTTTAGGAACAGATGCAAGACCACAATACTTAGTATATCAGTCTGGATCTTGTATTATGTCTCATTGGGCTTGTAGCAGCTCATACTTGTATAACAGTGATGCAGACATGTAGTTGATTACCTGCTGACACACCAATAGACAGTGACTCACATAAGCAAATAGAGTTCACACAGACACTAATCACGCAAACATACTGTTTTGGTGGTGATAAAGAATGGACCAGACTCTTGACTTTTGCATCATTTCTACTGAAGCAGATCAACCATGGTGATAATATAAGGGATAGCTTCCCTCTGGCAGGATGACTGAGTGGACCTTCAGCTCTGCTTTGTTTCTCTGTCCTCTCTGTCTGGGATGGATTTGTCTGTCTGGGCCGGCCTGTGCAGGGTCGCCCGAGGGTTGTGTAAATACACACTCACTATGGGTGGGATGGAAGCTCAAAGGGATTTTCCATGACTCGTCCCGGTGAATGGAGCGTGCCTTGCCAAACATACGTATCATCCTTCTCCCAAACTCAGTCATAGGGAGTCTTTTAGGTAGCATCACCAGGGATTTGGAAGTTTTCTCTTCGATTCATGCAGCAACCCACGATTTCTGTCACGACACTAACAGCAGTGGGTTTCCATATGATGTGGTTGTTTGTTGTTATGGTGATTCTTTCCCACTGAAGTCATCCGGAGCAGGGCCATGGGGTGCAATTTAGTATTTCTGTTTTTGGAATAAATGTTGCACTGAAATAAAGCATCAAACTTGCCAGAAGCATTCCCTAACCTCATCATCTTACATTAAATAACTGCGGTTAAAAAAGTAAACTATAGTGTTATTATGCATTATAATTATTATATCATGTCATTTTCATAGCTATATTCAAAGCAAAAAGGACAAAAACACTACACGTAAATATCTGTAGCACTGTCACCTGACATTTCCTTTTGTGTGTTTGATAAATATCTATAAGAGACAGATTTCTCTGTTGGGCAATATATCCCTTTCTGAAGATTCGTGTGCAAAACCTGCTGTCAATGCGAATTGCTTATTTGAACCAAACACACACACTCCATCTTGCCTTCTGTCACAATGAGTCCAACAACAATATTGCATGTTTCTCTAATGGCTCCCATCAGGAGATGAAACTCATAAATAATCATCTCCTTCACTTTGTTTACTCCATCTATGTCTCCTTGGTGACAGGAATCTTACCAACATTATTCCTCTCGCAGCCACATTGACGGGAGTGAATATTAATAAATGTCATCAGACTCAATGGGCCTGATTAATGAGTTTAGACCTCAGTGTAGTTCTGGGCATGATATGACCCAACCACAGCCTCCAGAAACATAGGCAGAAATCGAGGAGTGAGTTCTGCAAAAGCTTCACTTTGGGAGATGTTACATTTTGTTCTATTTAATCTCATGTTGCTCTTCACAACTAAATGACAAAGTGGTGAAAGATAGATGCTCTGTAAAGATATAAATCTCATTTTCTCCATCCCATACACTTTTTTTTTTGATAAGAAAGGCTTCCTTCGACTCATCTTGAATTGTTAATGATTTCACTGCACTTAACTAAGCTCTCTGTCAGTTAAGGCCACTACATTCGGCAGTTGTCAGCCCTCTGATATAGTAAATGCATGACATCATGACTAATGTATGTCCCTGATTAATTGTCTGTTTTTGTAGCCTGACCCACAACAAGGCCCTGGTTAGAAAAGGTAATTTGTCATGACCTTTATATGTGTGGCGTTATCCCACATCCACATGAATACATATTTACACCAGAGCAACAGCAGAGTAAAATTAAACAACAGTATAATTTACAGGCAATAAAGTTATTAGACAGCGTATAGGACGCAAGTAACCATTTTCAATGACTCTTTCAATGACGTACATCACAAAAACATTCATCAAAGGTTTGCTGGACACTTTGAAGAGTGAATATTTTCCCAGATATCACATCCCTCTTACATGATAAGCACTTGTTGTATTTAGTTAGTTATTATAAGTAATCAGACATGTAGACAAGTGCCTAGGCCAAAAGTATTTTCTGTTTGTGATTGTATCATTTTGTAAGGGCTTGAGATCTTGCTTAAGCTTTGAAACTGTTGCTATTATGATACCAAGGCTGCCATCTAGTGTTAGTAATTGTGGTACTGCAGCCACTCAGCTTTTTGTGGAACAAGAATTGCCAAGAGCCATCAAAATCTGTGTACGTTTTTATGGAAACTGTATGGAATTGCTTTATTTCTGCTTTGGGGTAACTGTGGCAGTGTAGTTTCAAATGTGTTATATCTATCCATGCAATTTTGTTGTATGTTTGTATGTTTTCACCTTTTTCTGAAGCTGCTTAAACTCCTGTAAGCGGCTGGTGTGTAGTAACAGTTAAAGCAACATGCTTGAAATCCATGGGTACTAGCAGGGAGAATAAGCACAAGACATATGGTCAAAAACACTGGTGTCCACTAAAGGTGGAGGTTCTAATTGTCCTCGCTGTAACTTTTTTTTTTTTTAAGTAGGGAATAAGGGGAGGAAAGCAATTCTGGCAGATCTTCTCGCAAGTTGGAACTATTTATAAGTTCAAATGCATGTGTTTGTCTTAAGTATGTATTTGCTTTTTATGCAGCTCAAATTCTCAGCTTCATTCCAGGTGTGCTTTTGCTTAAGAACAAAAATCTTTATTACCCTTTGAGGGAAACTGTTTTGCCCAATGAGCCCTGTAAGACATTAAAAATCAGACATGCTTATGCTGATACATATTTTACTATGCTACCATTTACTGCATATGGAGACTAAACTTCAATATTGTTGTTAAATGCGGTCACTGTGAAATTATTAACAGAACAAGATCAAAAAAGAAAATCATGTTTAGGTGAACGTGGTGGAAAATGTTTGTTGTAAAAAACAGAGTAGGCTGAAAACATTCATATTTCATAATACGTCAGCAACGTTAAACCTGATTATTCTTGGATGATGACTTACACGTGTGTGTTCCCTCTGCATACTTCTGCAGGTCAGCCTGCATTCCTTTGGCTCAGAGATTTGTGATGTGGCAGAGGGGTACTGTAGACTTTATCTCACTCTAAATAATCTTAGAGGGTATTTTTCTCCTTAGTGCCATATTTACACCCTAACTCAGTGAGTGTCTGGTTCACTCAAGCAGGACTGTTATATATATATCAATAGGAGTAAAAACATATTAAACCAAAAAGTCTGTCATCTGCTGGAAAGCACAGTGGAGCTGAAGAATAAATCTTATTTTAGCCTTTAAATTGCCTCTGCTTAACACACTTTTTGCCAAAATGATGCCAACAGGACATGTGGAACTGACAAATAAATCCTTTTCATTTGTTCTGCTGCAACTGCACGTGGAATTTCTATTCCAGTCAACACATGGAAACATAAAGAGAATGGCAGGTTTCACAAACTTAGCGGCCTAAAGAAATTATTTTATTTGTTTTTTAATGTATCAAACCGAAAAATAGGCTGTGTACAGATATGAAATTTAACAGATAGGTTAAAATGTTTCCAAAGACTAGAAGTATTTTCTCATTCACATTCACAAACAGTAGAAGTCACGTGCACTGAGCAAAAGAGCACCATGTGTGTACATGCTAAAATTATGCCTCAAGGCATATTCATTATGTCTGATTAAATTTCAGCTATAATTCAATAATTAGACTACAGCAAAAAAAGTGGTGACTCCAAGACATAGGCAAAACAAGCTGTAGGTGGCGCTGCTTATTGAGCGAGATGAGACCGAGGAGTCCACTGAGATTGTGATTCCAGGCCTGCAGCGTTCGCAGTTTTCACCACAGAAGAAGCAGGAGTCCATGTTTTGCAGAACATCTGAGTTGTACGTTCTTGTTGCTTTTGTCGCTGTGAGACAGGGAAAATAATCAAATGATATTATGACAATCAGTACATAACACCCTGTGTCTATCACTGCTAAATCATACTGGCCAGTGAGCTTAGTGGTTTTTGACTTTTTCAACACAAGAGAAAGCAGACTTTAATAGCATCATAACTGTTTCAAACTCACTGGGTTCATAGTAGTCGTAAACCTGCACCACAGCATCCTTTACGTGGGCCACCATGTATTCTCTGAAGACTGAAAGTGTGATACAACCTCTGACTTGGTAAGCTGCAAAAGGGACCAGAAAAGTGAATGATGACATGTGGTAAAACACAATATAGCATTTACTTATCATATTCTTTCATATCTTGGGAATGTGTACAAGTATCTGGTGTAGGAAACATATTTTCGATTAATTTCAGATGCAAGTGGAAGGAGAGAAGTCAGTGTGAAGTGCAACAAAAACCTCCACAACTTTTCATGCCTGCCCACAAAATGACAACATGATGAAACACTTACTGAATCGAGGTAGAGGCTGACTTTCCCAGGCAGTATCTCCACCTTCCTGATAAGATTTGTTGGGGCAGCAGATCCAGGAGAGAGACTGAAACCACTTAGCATGCCTACTTCCAATATAACCATGCCCGTCTTAGATATCTCTTGATTGTTCTTTAACCTAGAGAGGATAAAAGCAAGATGCCATATTATTTGAGTCCCTTGTTTTACAAAATATTTAATAGGCATGACAAAATAACCTTGAAATATGGATGATGTCATTAATACAGGCACATTTTCCAATACATGTGGAAAAAAAGAAGAAGAAAGTAATTTGATTTAAGTCCGTGTGTTGTACCTTGCGCATATAGATACCAGCATGTGAATGAGGTCTCCTTCCTCAGAAACATCCACACTCAATGAGAAAGCCTCCTCGTCTGTGGCGAGGTTCTGTGAAAATTCTTTGCTCCCCAAGTTGTAAAAGATATTCATCTGGAAGGATTCATGGAGATTTTTAAAAATGTAAAGATTTAGTGCTGAAGAACTTTACCACATTGCCAGAGATTATGATTAAGTGGTCACAAACAGTATCTGTTACATTCCTGAGGAAACATTATTTAAAGCAAAAATTAAGTAAAGATTGAATCTCTGTATTTGTTTACTTGTTTCAACATTAAAGCACTGAATCACGGAAGGTTAAAACAAGGTAATAAAGGGGGTCTGGAACAGAAGACAACAGGTTGTAATATTGAACATAGTGAAAAGATTACCCTTTCACCAATGCCCTCCTCTGACTGATATTATCCGGACACACTAAACAAAGACAGGACTTCAAGCTACAATATGTGTTCCAGATGTTAATTGCTGGGAGTCCATTATCATGCTGCATTTGCATTTAGCTGTTTTGGTTTAGCATTTACAATGGAGTACATTGTGCTGATTGAAGTTAGAATGCACAGCTGCTGCGTTCAATTTATTCTGGTCATGCTCCAGTTGTGAAATGATTCTATACTGTATGTTGAGTTGAATATGTTGGAGGGGTAATTTGGAGTTGTGGTGTTACATTTTCCTTAAACACGGATAGGTTAAGCAGAACTCATATTAAAGATGCAAACTGTTCATCAAATTTCAGTTTACGTTAATAAATGTAATTTAATGACTGAACAGCACAGACAAAGAACAACAGAAACACTGTATAACAGTACCTGAAATATTGCAAATCCTCTTCCTTCCATGTATATATGTAGATTTAGATCTTTGTCAGCATTAATCTATGAAAAAAAGTAATAGTAGGAAAATAAAGAAAGGATGACAATGATATAGTCAAAGTAAATTCAGCATAAAGTAATATCAACACATATACATAAATATCCAATACATCAAATCATATATAAGCTACACAAAAAGCATGGGATTTCACCCAGATCGATTACCTTTTGGCTCCGATACGTCTGATAATTGGTGGAGTTGATGTGAAACAGTGACGAAGAAGGTGGGGCAGATATGCTGAGCCTGAGGTCAATGGCATTGGCACCACTGAAGGCAGCGTAGTAAGCTAGAGCCTGGAGGGCAACTACTGTGTCCTGAGGAAGACAAGGGGGAGGTGCAGAATAGGCATTTATTTTTTTGCAATATGGCTAAAACTGTGATGTGGCTTTCCACCAATTAATGAACAAAACTGAATGTATATTATGTCAGTTTGAATAAGACATAATTGCAAAATTGGCATTTCAAATTTCATCATGAGTCTCCTCAAGCTTTCAGCATGTGCTGGCCAGTCACATGAAGATGGTAAAAACTTTCAATTCTCGCTAGTTTGTATTTTGAACAAACAGGTTTTATTGTATTTCCAGCTGCATAGTTAAACAACAATTTCGAGTAACAAAAAATGTGTCACCTGTGTCGTCCCATAGCCTCCTAGATGGTTTCTCTGCTTGCTTAACCATTTAAAGAGTGCAATGCCCTCCACAAAGCTGCCATGCCTAAAAAGAGCCAGCAGCACATAAGAGGTCATCTCGATCTGTGCTGAGCGCGGCTGCCAGTCATGTGACTCCAGGCCAGCTGAGGATCTCCACATCATGACTCCATCTTTTGAACACGATAACAGACATTGTAATTAATATAAGCTTGTTCAAAGATTTAACATGCTGCACAACTTTAAAAAATCTCCACTAATGTCATTTAATCAAACACAAAGTGCTGCTTTTTATTGCTGCTGCTCTTCTTCTTCTACAAGAAGTTAGACCAAAGGACGTTTCAGAACCACAAGAGTCAGATTTTGCCTGCACCATTTCTTTATATCAATAATTGAAAGTTTTCATAATAATTTTGTAACCTTTGCTCTTTTGCTACAATGACAGGCCAAACGTAAGTAAGGAATTAAAGTAGATATGTGACTTTCCTGAACACAAAAGCCTAGAATACCTTCACTACATTACCTCTGTAGTCAGCTCTCCTGCTGAGCTCAGCCAAGGCATTGCTAGCCACAGGACTATTGGCCAGAGATAAAGCATAAGCCACCAGACACAGGCTGTAGTTACTGACCACTCCACTGGACACTTTGTCCTCCAGGTAGCTCTGGGCCAGGGACACACTGCCTGGGTGCATCTCCTTCACACAGAGGAACCAGACAAAATATTACAGTTGACCTCTTTTCCTCATAAACTTCATATACAGCGCTTAAATATGATAAAATCTATCAGCAACAATATAGTTTTAGCTCATTCCCAAATGTGGGAATTTTGTAAAATCCCATATTGTAACTTTCTCTACTGAAATACACACATTTCCCTAACTCACCACAAAGCGCTCATCCTCCAGCAGTGTCATCAATACATAGGCAGTGAGTGCCACCGGACCATTATCCAGTCCTCCCTGCATCTCCGTGTGGATCAAATTGCCCACCTCATTGAACTCTCCCTTGGGCCCCTGCTGTTTCAAGAGCCAAGTCATGGCCCTGACCAGGACATTGTTGTCTATCAGCATGTAGGGTTGAGCCTGGAGGAAGCACCTCAGCACAAAGGCTGTCAACCTGGGACCACAGAAAGGAGACAGAATGATTAACAACAAATATGTGCAATATGCCAGGTTTGTGCAATTATATGAAATGACAAAATTTTTCTGTGTGCAAAGACATTTAAAGTATTAAAAGGGGCGATTGTCAGTGGTGGAACTGGGCCTTGTTAATGAGGCTAGCTGCAGACGCGAAGAAGCTGTTTTGGTCCTGATCGACCGCAGCCTCCAGCTAGAGGAAAGTGTCTGAAACAGTTTGTGTACAGGGTGGGAGGGGTCAGCAGCGTATTGGTGTGTACACTTCCTAAATACTGCTTCCTGTCCATCAGGAGTCTGTGATCCACCTGCAGGTGGAGTTAGGTACACTCAGATAGGAGAGCTTGTCCTGCAGCAGGGCCGGGATGATGGTGTTGAAAGCAGATCTGAAATCCACAAACAGGACCCTGGCATAGGTTACTGGTGAGTCCAGATGCTGGGGGATGAAGTGAAGGGCCATGTTAACTGCGTCGTCTACAGACCTGTTGGCTCTGTAGGCGAACTGCAGGGGTTCCAAGAGTGGGCGCTCAAAAGACTTCATTACCCCAGGGGTCAGGGCGATGGGTCTGTAGACATTTAGTCCGGTGGTCCTTTGTTTTTTGGGGACACGATGATGGTGGAGGCTATTAAGCAGGCATGTGTCCAGTGATGTGTTAAAAATGTCTGAACACTGGAGACAGCTGGTCAGCGCAGTGTTTCAGGGTGGATAGATGTCTGAGTTTGGCTGTAAACCAGGGTTTGTCATTGTTATAACTCCCCCTGGTCCGCGATGGTACACAGCTGTCCTCGCAGAAGCTGATGTAGGACGTCACAGCATAACACATCCACTGTGCAGTCCATTGTTGGTAGCAGTCCTGAAAACATCCCAGTCAGTCAAATCCAAACACGCCTGAAGGTCCTCTACAGCTTCACTGGTCCACTACTTTGATGTCCTCACTACAGGTTTTCAGAGCCTTAATTTCTGCCTGTATGCAGGAATCAGGTGGACCATGACGTGGTCAGAGTGACCCAGTGCAGCGCGGGGGCGGCGTGATAGGCACTGCTTACTGTACTGTAGCAGTTATCCAAATTGTTCTCCTCTCTAGTGGGACACTATAAACTGTCTGTATTTGGGGAGTTCTTGGCTGAGGTTTCCTCTTTTAAAGTCACCAAGAACAATAACAAGGGAGTCCGGGTTTGTCTGCTCCACACACAGTATCCGGTTGGCCACCTGTTCGTCCTGCACATTGGCCTGCGGTGGAATGTACACACCAATTAGAGTAAATGAGAAAACTCACAGGGGGGAGTAAAACAGTTTAAAGTTTAAGATAAAATATTCCAGATTAGGAGAACAGTGCTGCTGAAACACTGTCACATCGTTACACCAGCCACTGCTGATGTAAAAACAGACACCTCCACCTTTTGTTTTCCCGGACAGAGCAGTGTCGCAGTCCGCTCTGTATAGTTGGAAGCCTACCAGCTGTAGCGCGGAGTCCGGTATCAATCCAGGTATCAATTATGAATCATACATTTGATCTAGCCTCCAGAGACAGCCCATCTAGGCCAACCTAAAGGACACACTGTTGCTCACTGTAAAATGAACTGAACGATTGAAAGGTGCAGAATCTAACCGATGTACGATATGTAGCATGTCCATATTGACAAAAAGTGCAATCTACAGTAAGCAGCTTTGAACTAGCTCAAGCGGACTACCCAGTGGGCTTTCAGAGGTTTAATACATCCAAAGAACTAATATAAAAATCTGAACAAGCTTCTAATTGAGACCTGCATTTTTTTTTTTTTTTTAAATGTGTAGCCAAACCAGGCCAGTAAATGGGACAGGCGTCTAATTGAGACTAGGCTTTTAATTGAAATTTTACAGTAATTTACATAACACTACTGAATATTTGCAAATCCCTGCAACAAGTGTACCATTACATTTATGACTTACCATGTGCTACCAGTGGTGTTGTTGTCTCCAAAAGCACTGAATGAACCATCACTTTGTTGGTAGGACAGTTGTCTCTGGTATCCTTGCAGCAGAAAATATAACAAGCTTGCCACTCAATCCAATGAAGCATGAAAATATGTTCTATTACATTAAAGTAGCACATGAAATAGCCTTGCCCATAGCTTATACTGTATACAATACATTTACTGTGATTCATGTTACTCATGTAAAGGCTGCTTACCTTTCATCATGTAGCCCAGAGCCCTGCTCCTGATCTCCTTATTGTCCTGGTTTGACGTGTTCAGGTAATGGAGAACATAAATATTTGGAGCAAAGTGGATCATGTTCTGCTCCCCACAACCAAGAGGCATCTGAACCAGTGAATCCAAGTTTCGGACAGACAGGGCCAAGATATCACCTGTGTAAAGCAATACAGGTGGAAAGGTGGCTTGCACAATATGTTTTAGACTGGAAAGACCTTTCTGGTGACAGAAAGTGTCTGTACTGTAAGTAATCAGAACTTTTCCAACCTTTACCATATAGCTGCAAACTACTAAAAAGGAATCTGAATTGGAGTGATTTGTGTGTTGTGGTATTTAGAAGCAGTAGTTTCACGAAACGATCTCTCAGGAAAACCCTCAATGTGTGATTTACCATAGCAGTTGTGTGTGGCAACTATAGGAAGCACTATTTTAAAAATGGCCATTTGAAAAGTCACAGCAGTGACGTTAAAAGGTAAAAATGACTGGAGAAGAAACCATAGAATACCATCACAAGCAGAAAGCTACACCTGAGAAAAAAACTCCATCCTGCACATTTGCTTGATGTTTAATAAAACTCACTATCACAACAAAAACCACAAATTTGGCTCCTTCTAAGGAAAATACTGAGGCTTGCCTTTCTACCATGATAAATGCCCAACATCCCTCAACCTGAATGGAGCCAAGCCAAACAGCCTGACAGCTGTTCAGAATCTGCCCGCTGTAAACATTCTTGTTTGATGTCCATCGTCTCCATTTTTCAACTTCCAGTACCTAAATGTTTTCACAACAGCACTGAGCTGGATGTGCATACCACATCATCTAAACATTACAGAAAATGCAAGCACATATCACACATGTCTAATTGACTTAAAGTAAACAAGAGGAGCACTAAGAGGAAAACTGCCACTGGCACAACAGAGAGGATAAATGGTAGACGTACCAACCAATGCCACATGGGCCCTCTGACTGCCTGGTACCACATCTGGTGGAAAGGAGAAGGAGACGAATCTGGAATAGTTGTGTTTCAGTGGTTCCAGCTCCAGGAACAAAGTCTCTGAGAAGGTCTGTTTAACTCCCTCAGGCTTCGGGAACATGGAAGAAATTCACTGTTATCATAGGATTAACCGTATCACACGTAAAATGTTGCATTTCCTGCTACTTCCCAAACACTTTATATTGAGACATCACATGAATAGCCAGAAAAAGAAGACTTCACACACTAAATTCATAGATATTATTTATCCATTATACCACACCTTCACAAGCATTCTCCTAACAAGGCTGTCTGAGGCCTCCGCAGATACGGCATCCACAGATATTTCCATCTCGCCCAGAGCAACAGGCCTTATAGGGAAAAGCGCTGAAGCAGACCCATGACTCCCTAATGTGAGCTTTTGTGCATTTACCACCGCGGCATCCCCTTTGTCTTCTAAAACAAACTCAAAGGCCTCACTTTGTGCTATCAGCACGATGACCTGTGGAGAGAAACATGAAAGTAAAGCACAATTCTTTAAGACAAAGAGGGATTACTTACTGTGTGTCATAAATGACAGTGACAAGTGTTAATTATTGGCAAATACCAAAAAATCATCAGTTTCTTGTTGTATCAAAAGAAAGACTTGTGCAACAGGTCAGATAATTAGCAGAACATTCCACAAATGTATGTAATGTTCATACCTCTATATCATGCTCTAAATGGCTGATGATGTTCACCTCCAGCACAATCTCCTCTCCTCTAATGAGATATGATGGGACATCCAGAGCCAAGGAAAAATCTTTGGACACAATCAACTGTGAATGACAGAACAGGAACCTATTCAAAAGCAGTTCATCATGAGAGAGATGTGAGAGAGAGCGCACCTTCAACAGAGAGCTTGTTGACAGATTGATCACTTACAACATTTAGCTATCTGTTCTGATCGTATCTGAACTGATGCAACATAAGGAAATGTTCGGGGCACTGCTAAAAAAACAACATAACTTCAAAGGCTTTGTTAAAATCATTGTGTACTCCACAAACAACAGACTGGATGCAATAAATAAGCATCTACAGGACATAACCAGCTTGCAATTTACACAAAAAGATATAAATGACATTAAAAACTGATATCGCTAAGCAAACCCAACGCTGCAACGCCATGCAGTCAGACATCTTTAAAGTTTGTGACAGTTTAATTGCTGTCACTGACAAAATGGAGTATTTGGAGGGACAATCCAGGCGTAACAACCTAATTTTTGAGGGAATACAGGAGGCACCAGGAGAGACCTGGGTCGAGGAGAAAGTGAAGAAAGTACTGGCAGAGAAGTTACAGCTGCAGCGAGAGGTTGAAGTGGAGAGGGCCCACTGTACAGGAAACCTGGAGGAGACAGAACAAGGCCAATTGTGGTGAAATTTCTGAGGCACAAGGATAGATCTGCCATACTACAATGCACCAAGTCACTGAAAGGATCCAAAATCTTTATCAACGATGATTTCACGGATAGTGTCAGAAGAAAAAGGAAGGAACTGATGCCGGATCTGAGAGCTGCGAGAGAAAGGTGGGACATCTGTGACATGACAAACTGATCCTACATCCCCGGTCCAGTACACCAAAATAGAAAATATTTCAGGTATGCTGAATCGCTGACCACGCTTTGACATCTTTCACAATTCACACATTCACCAGAGCTAATCAACTACTACAGAGGATTGTTGATCATGATAATTTAAAGCTGAACATCTCATCTGAACATTTCAATACACTGAACATCACTCACAGGACTTGGAAAATGATACTGATCCTGTACACAACTTTTTCCACAACGCCAACAGCAATTGCTTTTATTACACAAATGAACAGTTTAATATTACAATTATCAATAATCTATTTTAACAGCAGAAGCCTATACGCTAACTTTCACAGCATTAAATATTATCTAAATCAGTTTAAACAGCCTTTCAATATAATTGCTATATCTGAAACTAGGATAAACAGTGAAAAGGGCTCAGATTTTGAAATTAAAGGATATGAAATGTTTTGTATTAACAGAGAAAACAAGAATGGGGGTGGTGTGGCTTTGTATGTGGACAAGAAATCAAATTACAAGGTGGAGGGAAAACGTCTACAGTGGTGGATGATTTACTTGAATGTGTCACAATAGAAGTATGTAGGGAAAAAATGAAAAATGTTATTGTAAGTTGCATCTATAGATCACCAGGTTTTAATATTGATTTATTTAAGGATTGGTTGGAGGAAATATTTACAAAAACAAATCAGAAATTCATGTTCATCTGTGGTGATTTCAACATTGATTTGCTAAATCCAAATACGCACAATATGACGGATTTTATCAATACAGTGTTTAGTCTGGGCTTTTCCCCAAAAATTACCAGACTGAGCAGGATTACTTCCCACTGTACATTACACGGAACATTAATTGATAATATTTTTTACAAATGACATAGATAACAATACAGTGAGTGGACTATTAATAATTGACATCAGTGACCACCTACCAGTTTTTACAGTTTACAACAGCAACTACACATCTAAAAAGCACAACAAACTTCTATTCAGACAGGTCAGAACAGAAGAGTCTATGGTTGCCTTTAAAGATGATTTGCTTTCACAAGACTGGGAAATAATACAGTATATAAGGAAAAAGACATTGATAAAGTACATGAATTCCTTAGAATATTTAAAGTATTATATGATAAGAATTGTCTGATGAACAAATATTGCAGGAAACAAAAATATAGTGATAGACAATGGATTTCAAAAGGATTACAAAATGCATTTTATAGAGAATTTCTTAAACACAGAACTATAGAAGCAGAAAATAAATAAGAAATATAAAAAGAAGTTAATTAAGATTATGAGAACATGTAAGAGAATACTATACTAAATTTTTAGATAATAAAAATATTTAACAACAGCAAAAGTCATGCCTCAGTACAAAACTGGAGATAAATACTACTTCACAAATTACAGGCCTGTCTCTCTACTGCCACAATACTCTTCAATGACAGATTGAACAAATTCACAGATAAATACAAATTACTTACTGACAGCCAATATGGATATGGAACTGAACTAATTGAAGAAATCACAAATTCCACTGACAAAAAAAATATGGAGTTGGGGTATTCATTGATTTGAAAAAAAACATTTGATACAATTAATCATGAAATATTAATCAATAAACTGGAAAGGCTCAGGACTAGGGGGATAGTGCTGAATTGGTTAAGCAGTTATTTAAAAGACAGGCAACAATTTGTGAAGTTGGGAGATAACACATCTGAATGTTTGGACATTGCGTGTGGTGTCCCCTAGGGGTCAGTGTTGGGACCAAAATTATTTATCCTCTACATAAAAGACATATGTAAAGTATCTGAACTACTGAAATTTGTAGTATTTGCAGATGACACAAACATATTTGGTTCTGATCAGAACAGCAACTCCTGGACTTAATCACTTCAGAATTCAGAAAAATAAAACAGTGGTTTGACACAAATAAGTTATCATTAAATTTGAGCTAAACTAACTTCATGATATTTGGCACTTGTAAATCAATCAATCAAGTTCAGCTGCAAATCGAAGGTATCAGAAAGAGTGTATGAAATGAAATTCCTTGGAGTGATTATAGATGACAAGATTTGCTGGAAATCTCACATAAAACTTATCCATACAAAATTGTCTAGAAGTATTTAAGTCCTGGCTAAAGCTAAGCACATTCTAGATCACAAATCATTCCACATTTTGAATTGTTCGCTGGTGTTACCGTATTTAAATTACTGTGTAGAGATTTGGAGAAACGCATATCAAAATTCATTGCAATTGTTATTTATACTTAAAAAAAAGAGCAATAAGAATAATTCATAACACTGGATATTTGGAACACACCAACTCATTATTTTTACAGTCTAAAGCATTAAAATATCTGCAAAGCTAATGACAGTCCTTTCACCCTCAGCGGCACTTTGTGTTTAGTGCTAATTACACAATGCTAGCTTGCTAGCACGCTGAACTAAGGTTTAACATGGTGACCATGTTAAACATTTTAAGTGCTTAACATCAGCATGCTAGCATTGTTATTGTGAGAATGTTAGCATGCTAAAGTTACATTCAACTTAAAGCACCACTGTGCCTAAATACTGCCGCAGACCTGCTAGCATGGCTGTAGCGTCTTATTGTTTTGACATTATAATATTAAATAAACTTAAATATTGTTATCACCATCAAAATGACAAAATATCAAGTCAGATTACGTTGAAAAAAAAAACTGTAATTCTTTATGGCACAAAGTGTTTTTTAGTTGTTTACAAGACAGTGCAAATTGACTAAGCTTTGGTGTTTCTCAGTGACACCATGGGGAAGGACTGAAAATCAAAGTAAAATTCACTTCCCATCTCCTTTTCAGTACAAAGAAACACAACATCCTTTTTGCAAACGGAATAAACTAGATATGTGGGAAATACAAACCCAAAGTTTGACAAACATCACTGGTATATAGAGGCTCATACAGTGAGTATTTAGTTACCTTTTGTGGCACAGAAGAGAAGCTCAAACCCAGGTTGTCTGACATCACCATTGCAACAGCTCTCAGAGAAGTAAAGCCATCTGGCACTGTTATCTTCTCACTTGTCCATGTTTTATTACTGATAGAAATGACAGAAATATGTCATAAACATGTGTATGCAGTAAACTGTGCTTGTATATTTATTTAATACTGACCACTCATTTGAATCACCTACCCATTCCCAGCATATGTACCTTTCAGGACTCACCTAACATTAGTGTCTAACCACAACAAGGATTCAGTGGCATCCATCCAATAGCTGCAGCATTTCTCTGCAATTAGGGCAACCCCAAATAAGATATGAGAAGTAGAATATATATATATAAGAAGAATGAGGATTAAATCCAGTAGTATTGAAATTTTGGGAGCAATCCAATATGCTAAATGGCCACAAGAGGGGACTCCAAATAGTAAATGCTATATGAATTATTCACAGGGTGTTTTCATACCATTTTTAGTTCCATCAGGCAGTTTTTTCTTATGTAGTCTGGCATTGCTCAGCATCATAATATCACATTCCTGTGGTATGAAAGATTTAAAAAAATTATAACAATGGTAATATGTTATAGTTGCTGTGCTGTAAACTAGCATGTAAGCCTTTACTGAGAGGTCCACTATCAGACCATGCATCATTAGTGATATACAGTATAGGTCAGGTGATTTATAGTCTCCACTCTATAAACACCTGGGCAGATCTCGCTTTTTTAAAAGGTGTATAATACACGCCACCAGTGCTTTGGAGATGAGGAGAGGTCATCGTAACAGCCCATTGTGGTAAAGCTTTGTTTCCTCCCTCGTGCATCTATCAACAGCCCTCAGGTCCTGCACCCAACGCACTAGAATTACCAGCTCTTAGAAGGAACAGAGTCATCTCCTAACAAAGCAGACAGATAGGTTACATCAAGACTAACCAGTTCAGTGGTTACACACTGAATACCCACACTGCGTTTAACAGGAAAAGGTGCATCTAAGAAGAATTTACAACAGATTAAGGAGATTGAGAAGACTGGTGCTTTGTAATTAAACTGTGAAATGGACAAAGGAGACATGAAGCAAATCTGACAGTAACTCTAAATAGGTGACTTTTAGACGTTTTGAGTTTCAGAGATTATGTTTTGCTCTTTTGTCTGAATATATAAACAACTTTCACACCTTTAGGCTTTGGCAAATCAAAAAGGTGTTGTCATACCTGCTTCGCGTTCAAGTCGAGCTCAGCCTGCGGCGCGTCATCATTTGTCCCCATTATCTGAATTCCTACCTGGGAGCTGGGTTCAAGGGCAGTCACAGAAAGCAATACCTGCTCACCTGGCTGGGCTTTGTCATTGCTCCATTTTAGAGATACCTGCGGAAAGCAAACACACTCTCAGACATATCCAGGAGAGTTATGCACCTATTAGAATAATATGATAGAATACACCTAAAAAAACAACTAATTAAAGTACATAGTTTTGTTGGTTGATGGGTATGTGTGCTGTGTCACTGGTGACCTCTCCATCAGAAAGGATGCAGTAGACAGTGACACAGGCCTCAGGGGTCCAGGACACTGTTGGGGTCAGGAAAAAAGAAAAGGTATTCTTTGTCCCAGCAGCCACCACTTGACCTCTAGAGCTCACCTGGAAGGACAACAATAAAAGGGAATTAATTTAACCACAAACCTCTAATTAATGAGCCCAGTGGGGTCCATAAGTTCCCACAATGATCTCTACATTTGAAAACATTGGACAGTACTGCAGGCTCAACAGTGACAAGCAAATAATAGAAGACACATTCCAAATTGTATCATGGTTTACAGATATCTAAAGACAAAGGTTCTCTATTCAAAGTAAAATGGGAATCAGAACTAAATGTAGATATATCAGAGGACGAATGCCATCATAGCTGGGTTATACAACAAAAAATTACAAATTCAGTACAGGAAATGGACTTAATGGGGCTGGAAGAATCAAATTTGCTTTTTCATCACAGCTCAGCTTAAAAATTATTAACTCCAGGTTATGGTTATGTGATTCCTACATTTTAGGTTATGTTCCTAAAGACAGTAGGATATTGTGTCTTGGATTGATAACAACTGACAGTACTGAGAAGCGACCTGTATCTTTGTAAAATTCTACTGGTTGCCCGCAAAACAGCCAAAACTAAAATGGTATTTAATGGATGGACATAGTAAGGGATATTTCCAGTATGTGATTGGAAAAGTGATGTTTTTCTTGAGGAATAATAATTTTCCCAGAAAAAAAATGGAGAAATGGATCATCGTAACTGCAAACAACGAGGACATTATCATATGATATCTAGCTCTGGACAGATTGAGAAGACATTAGACCAAGAAATTTATAACTCACTTGGTTCCCATACTTAGTTGGTCGTTGTTTTGATTTTATTTTGTAAAAGAATAAACTTGAAATTGTAACAAATAAAGGATGACAGAAAAACTACGTCTACCGCTTTTACAGCAAACACAAAAGTATTTTGATTTTGATAATTACCACTCACTCTCTTGATTCATTAATGCAACACTGTAGTATTTTTATCTTAAAATTACAGCTTAAAAATCATTTTGATTGTACACTGACTTGTAATAGGAATAATGGCGTCTGTTATTGCCACTCTGGGCCTATGTAACATTACACAACAAGAACCTTTAGTAGATAAGATATAAGAAGAAGCTAAGGGTATATAATGTGCAATGAAAATTCTTTGGAAGAAGCTAGCTTGGTATTCTATGTATGGATATCACAGCAGGGGCTGCAAGAAGAGCGAAGAAGTTGGAGGAGGAGAAAATTAAAGAAGAGCAAATATCGGACTGGCTTTTACTCGTTGGCGGGAGCTAAAAGAGCTGCAAGGATGCAAGACAGATGCCAAGGTGGCCTTCTTTCTGTTGGACAAGTAAGTAAGATTAGTTGTCTTGCTATGTCTTGTGTTGTTGCACTTGCTTGAGGTTTGCCTGTGTTAGCAAAGTTGTTGACTTGGGAAAAATCAGCCATACGTTTCAAAGAGTGAGAAAGAGGTTAGACTGCTGACACTATATAGTCCACTATATAGTGAGTAGTGGGTGATTTCAGACACAGCCAGAGTGCTGCTTTCTGCCCCCTAGTTGCACTTGCACCTCAGCGATGACTTTGCACAGAAACCAGTCTATAAATCTCAAGTTAATGTTAAACTTATTAGGTAACACACTGGGACATCGGAAACGATACTGTCAGTTCTCTTTCGTTGGTTGCCAAGTTGCAAGCGATATTTTCTAACTCTTCTACTATAAATTAACAGATTGGGGAGAGGCTAGCCGGTGTCATGCCGGGCCAGCGGGGTAACATAACTGGGCTCAGCAGCCTCTATGGACGTAATGTTAGTTAATGGCAGAGGCGAAGAGACGGAAGAGGACACTGATGGAGGAAGCTAAGAAGAGAAAAAGAGAGTGACCAAGCATGAGGCTGCCGAACGTTGGCAAGAGCTTCTTTCTGTTAGATTAGTAATAATAGCTGGCATGCTAAGTTTTGCTTGGCTGTGTTAGCAAAATTGTCGACTTGCTAGTTTTTGATCATAAACTTATTTACAGGAGTGGTAAATTACACAGTAGGGGCACCAAAACGCACAAAAAAACAAATCTTACATAATGTTGCTATATGCTATATGCCTATACTGCAGTTAAGCGTTATTTTATATATTTGATTGAGCATACCACAAAGTGAAGCTTTTTTGGTTGAAAGGTGCTCGTCACATCTAGTTGAAGAGGCAATCCAATCTGAAAGTTAAAAATGTTACGTGAATTATGTCTGGGTTGCATAATAGACAACATAATCTAGGAATGTTTTTTAATGTATCACAGTGATAGAAAATATATGTTTAGAGTTACCTGTGCAGGTAAGGTGTTGATTGGGGAGATCTGAATATACGAGCCACTAGGAGAGGAGTAGTTGTTGTAGACCCCCAGTGTCTCCTCACTGGACTGGAATCTTGCCTGAATAATAATAATATAAAAATATGAACCTGAGGAATAAAATAATCATTGAGGATACATAAAATATATATTGTGTGTGTTCTTTGCGTTGATAGTGAAGGAAAGTAAACCTCACATAGTCAGTCTCTGTTTTCTTTTTAAGGATGTTTGCTTTACTTAAGTTTACAGGTCCTGGGGTTATTTTATTAATGGTACACACGTCTGTAATCCTACTGTACTGAAATTACTCCTCTTACACCCAACGAATCATACTACTTCTCCCGAAGGACCCACATTCCAGGTACTCAAAATATAAAAAATACTCACCCGAATAAAAAGCACAGCTACTTGATCCTGTAATTTAAACTTTATGTGTATGTTTCCGTCCTCAGGCACTGGAAGTGTCAGAGTTTTCAGTTCAGCATTCATCATGGATGTTCTCTGAGTGACTTCAATCATAGCAGAGTATGTCAGATCCAGTGAGCTGAGTGGCTTTCTGTCAAATCTAGAGATTCTTAGCTGTGGAAGAGAAGCAGAGAAGGTAGTTAGCTCATGGAATAATGGTTTAAAATAAATGTCAAATAAACAGGAGAATTCACTCACTTCTGTAGAGAAGTTTAAAGACGGCTTTAGTGCAGGTGGAAAATCATGGAACGAGAGCTGGAATGTGTTCTTCATAAATTGGACTTCAACTGTTTTGTTCGCTTTAAATCCTTGAGTGAAAAGAGATGATGTAAATGCTTTGAGGATGCAACAGAGATGCATACTATGCATAAATCAACATAATTTCAAAATATCTCTCACCTGTGGAGTCATTAACACATGCAGAAACATGGACACGGCTACTAATTCCTGATGTGTGGAGGGCTTGAAACAGATCTTTGCTGAAGAAAAACTGTGTTGACCCATAGATCTAAATAATAATGGTCAAAAGTTAGCCAGTACTGTTCAGTAGATAGTTTGTAAATGCTGGCTAAAAGCACAGAGAGTCTACTTGTAGTGTTCTTTCATAAATGAGCTCAAGGGGGAAAAAACGCTCACCTTTTTATTTTGTGTTAGCATGAATGGAGAGGTTGCATTTTGTACAACAGATGCCAGAGTGACTGAGACAGCTAGTGTGCCCTGTACAGGTTGTCCGCCGGGGTAACTAGAGGAAAAAAAGTACTACTGTATACTCGCTTAACAAAATTATGTGTGAACGTGATATTATTGCTAAGCTAATTGAACTCACAGTGCTCTCACTGATCCTGAGATGCCATCTCCAACAAGGACCTGTGAAGGTGTCTTGAACAGCACTTCAAAGTAAGGACGCTCTGCAATCGCAGTCAGTAAAATTATGGGAATGGCAGTAATTAAGTTCACTTACAAACAAGAGTCTACAGCCACTAGCAGCTCTGTGAGGCTCTAGAGCAGTTCTTTGAGCTGAATGCTAACATCTGGATGCTAAAATGTTAATAGTGCATACAACAAGTTGATATTTAGAAGCCATCATAGTTTAGCATGTTAGCATGCTAACATTTGCTAATTAGCACTAATCACAGAGTACAGCTGAGGCTTATGGGAATGTCATTAGTTGCAGGTATTTGGTCATAAACCAAAGTATTGGACAAAAGAATTTTGGCCTGGTGGTGGTGCTGGAGGCAAAGTCAGCTGATTTGCATTTAGAATTTCCTGTATCCTTGAATATCTGGACCAAAAATTCATGAAATCCAGATAGATAGATATTTCAGTAAAAAACCTACATTGTCAACCTCATGAATGTCTATACCAAAATTGAATTGCCTTTAGAGCCATACTGCTAATATTGCAATGAACTGATAGATATCTTACCATAATTCTCCACAATGAATGCTTTCTTATAAGTCAGACCCTGTAGGGAAAAGGATAGGAAGTACAATGAGACGATGCTTTTCTTATTCTTATTATTATTAGACAGCATGCTATACAAAGGTAAACACATGTCTATATTTCAACCCTACATTTATTGTGGCTGTGACTGCCCACTGTCCAAGAGGAGGCGTCTGGGATAAATTGAATTGGTGCAGCACAATCCCTAGATTCCCTGTGGACTCCCACCTGTTGAAAATGTTCCCACTGGGATCCTGCATGTAACAAAAGAACGTCAAACTTCCTACCACCACACAACACACACTACCCAACTGAAAGTCTTTTCAACCTCTCTGGCTGTGTTCATTCACACAGAAAGACAGAGACCTACCTGTACAGAGACATCCACTTTGCCTTTGTATGGATGGTTGTCCAACTGCACAGACACAATTCTAACTTTGACGGTATTGGCCGGTTGGTAGCGCGAAAGGTCAGTTTGAATGAAGGTGGAAACATTCCTGAGGCTGAACCTGAGGCTGGTGGTGTTGGTGAAGATGAGATTGGCCCCCTGGTAGCCCCTCACCGTCAAGTTTAAGAGGGAATTCTGGTTTACAGATCCAAGAATCTGGAGCGATCGAATAAGCATTTTCAGAAACGTGTGTCATATCAGGTCATTTCCAAGTATTTTCGGATCTCTGAGAAAGAAGTATTTTGAATGAAGAACGAGCAAGACGGAGGAAAGTCATACTCACAGGAGGGAGTGTGAGGAGGCGGGTCAAACCTTAAAAACAAAATGATACTTTAGCTCTCTAAAAAGTCAAAAGGCACTTATGCAGATCAAATCCAAACCTTAATGTAATTGCGTTGTCACCTCCTTGGAAGTCCACTGTTTGGGCTACTGTGGTGTTGCCATGTGCCACTTCTGCCATGATGCTGCCAGAGAAGTTAGCTAGGACGGTGACAGCCAGTGGAGTGGGTACCCCAGCATACAACACCTCAGGACCCGAGATCAGAAACAACGTCCTAGTAGAAAGAGGAGGAATGGCTTGTTTATTGATAGGTAAAAAGAGTTGGATTATTAGATAAAAACTGCAGTCATATAAAAAAATATGAATTTTGGTATTTAAAAAAAATGATAACAAACCACACAGCTTACCTGGATGAATCCTGAGTCAAACCAGGCACAGCAGAACAAACAACCCCCACACACACAACCAGACTCCAGATCCCATCCATGCTTCTGCTCCGCGCTTCGCCACGTGTTCAACTTTTGATACAGACACCAAACTGACAGTGGCCGCTTGGTGAAGCACAGGTGATCTGGAACTACATGTTACAAAAACCCCACCTCCTGTCCTCACACCAACGCCCATGCTCATATTGTTACAAACACCAGGATGCATACACATACTATCACACATATATTCATTGGGGGCACAGTCATTCAACACCTTTGCCCAGGGGCATGCATATAGTCCGTCTATTCAGGGAAAGAAAAGAGAGATGTCCTGGTTTTACTGTATTCATACTGAGAAGAAAATACGCCTTAAATGTCAGAAGGAGCACAAGGCTGCATGCAATTTGTAACACAAAACCACCTGGGAGTGAAAATAGAAGCTGCTAACTATTACTTTATAAGCCCACCTTGGAAAACAAATCCTCATCATAATTCAGCTATGCGGTAAACACATTTGACATTACCTTGTGACAACACAGGACTACAGAACAGTGGGGTGACACTGAGACACTGGGAGAAAATGGTGATCAGTCACCAAAATGCAGTTAACTTGATTCAAACAGACCTCATCCAAAAACAGCAACCACTACTGGTCTTAGTTAGTTTTACAAATGAATGTCACATTGTTTTGCACTCTATGCAAGTGTAACAGAAAAACACAGGTTACACAAAAAGGAAAAACAAACAGCATGGAGATGCTGAGCTGACATTGTGGGACCATGAGAACCTGTATTCACTCTTCTTTACCAGCAGGTGGTGGTAAAGTACTAATTCATCACTTTAACATGAGCTTAACTTGCCTAAAAGCCATAAAATGATGCTCTCAAGACATTCAAAACTTCAATAAAAAGACAGAATCAAAATTTACTTTGAAAGGGTTACACCCATACAGTTTTATTTGCTTCATATTAACACTTTTATTTCTTTGGTATATATATTTTCACACTAGTTACATATAAACAGGTTTTACAATGGTCTATTTCCACAGAAAAGGAGTTGGAAAACAACATTTGACACGTACGACTTTTGCAACTTACTCTGCTTTAAACTTGTTGAAACAAACCAGTTTTTTTTTTTTCCCCCAGCAGTGGTGTAGTAGGAGGGTGTGCTTGTGCATCTGTGGGGACGCAGGTGTGACATGGAATAATATTGCAACCGGATGTGCAAACCTGTGTAGGCTTGTATTTGCTTTTGCGCTATGTCACGCCTGTGATGCACACATACCTGAGCACCTAAACAGCACTGGCACACGTGTGAGCATGGAGGCACTTTTTTGATTTGTATCATTGCCACACACGGTCTCTGTCTGTTTCTGTGTGTTTTTCAAAAGCAGAAATCTGCTCTTGACAAACCTTTTCACTGGTCTGCAGCCTTGATATTGAATGCCTACCTACTACAGCAGCAGTGTAACATATTACATAATATACATTCTTAAACCAACGAAGTGCATATTTACAGAGTGTTAAAAGGTCCAGGAAAATGTGTTGTCAGAGCATCACAGAAAAGGTTAGAAGGCAAAACATTCTGGCTGATAAAACAATGTGCAGTTTAAAGACAGTTATTAGATTTGATGAAGGACATGATGTAATACAGTACTTTTGGCCAGTGAAGTACCAGTGTGGAGACATTTACAGCAACTCTACCGTACATACACTTTAGTCAAAGGGATACTATACATAAGATCCAAATATTCTGAATTTATATAGGGGCAATGATTATCTTTCGTGTTTTGTTAATCCTTCCCCTACTTCTCAGTTGGTCAGATTCTCCCCACAGCACTTTTCACTCAATCTAATCAATGTTTCTGAATTCTTCACACTATGTGAAATGTCAGCAGATTAAGTATATGAAAGACACAGGAATGCATACAAACAAAAAAATGTAATACCCGCTACGGAGCCGGTGGTACAAAACCAATCAAAACTTAATACTTTGCCTCTCATCACTTCCATAGCCTCCCCCTGGTCAGTGGACATTTTCTGAATTGTGTGACAGAAAACCAAGCAGAAGGAACTTCAATCCAAAGCGGCAAATTAAAAATGTTTTGACATTAAGTCTTTATCAGGTATTAATATAATCTTTAATGATTTAGTGATGAAAGGTAATCAGGAAAGTTTTTCATCCAGTGTTACAAACACATCCTCTTAGCTGTGTCTGTCATTAATTACTGTAAATATGTGCAATGCACTAACATTTAACACACTCTTTTTCTTGTCTGAACAAGGACCTATAAAGTTAAAATTAATGGCAACAACCAGAGTATGCAAAGCTGATGCTGCACTCTTTCATTTTGGCTGCAGGACTTCATTTAAGCAAATATTATTTTGAAATCAAAAAGCTGCAAATTGTATGTCTTTTTTTACTAACAGAAAAACATCGGTTTCTCCAGGTTTCAGACACCCAACAAAAGGTATAATATAGTATTCAGGGAGCCATCATTATAAACAACTTATATTGTTTCCTTTGACAGTCCTAAAGGGTCCACTTAGGAGGGATTGTCAATCAGTACCTCCAGCAGTCACATCTCGAAGTGACGGTAGATGCTCTCCACATAGCTCAGGACCCTTTGCCAATCAGGACCGCCTGCTCTCAGCATCTCCTCTATTGACTGTAGAATGAAGATTTCAAATAAGTTTATAAGCTCAAAATCAACCATGCATCTGTCATAGAAAAGTCAGATGAGGCTTTACTGTGAAATGATTGGATTTATTTATAAAAGACATCATGGCTTACCAGGGTTTGTGCAATCCCAACAGTCTCTCCTATTTTGAATGCCAGACAGAGATTCTCCCTCTACAAAGAAAAGTAAGAATTGATAAGTTGAACACCAGACTTGGTCTTAACCATTCCACAGGCACTAGGCACAGTTCCTACCTTGTTCTCTGGAGTAAGAGTGCTGTAAGGGACGTGTGAGGGGAGGTAGGTGTGGTAGACAGCACAAAAGGCAAGACCATCGGCCCAGCTGCTGCTGAAGTTGGTGATGTCAATATTCTGCATGGAGAGAAAAGAGAGAAACGATTATTGCAATACAAGTGAACCAATGAGTTGAGCTGCAATAATCAACGGAAACCTGAGGTGAGTATTTGAAGCCAGCATTTTTCCACATTTGACATGTCAAAATGGGAAAAGCACAGGTGTCTAATAAAATGACTAATACCTAAATTCCATTAGGCTTCTTAAGTTTCATGGTCCTGTTACTGTGCATGCTGGCTCACTGTCACAGCTCACTGGGATACTTGAATAAAGCCATCAATAATTTTACAAGTAACACCTGTGCTTTTACTGCTATGACAAATCACAACAAAATCCAAAAATCCCAATGAATTCAAGACATGTTGCAAAACTGGAATTTTGATTTCCCAAAGACAATATCAAAAGCACTAAGACACCTCTTCAAGTCAGTCGGAAAAGTCCTTAGAATCCGATCAGCATGAGAGCACGCACCGTGTTGGCTATCTCAGTTCAAAATATGTCATAATGGAGTCTAATAACCAAAGACTCCTCACATTTCTCTCCCAAAGCATTTTCTATTGTGCACACTATATCAACTATTATATTATTTAACTCTTTAAGCTCTTCGTTCAATTTGTCTGTCTTGACTGGACCAAGCTAAGTTAAGGCTGTCAAATATTATCATCAATGTAACATTAGCTGTTGCCTGTGAAAATATTATTGAGTTACATCTAAAACATTATGCTCTGGGTTTCAGCCTTTTAAGACCAGTGTATATGTACATAAAATATCACATAATGAAGCTTTAAGACAGACCAAATCATATCCACCTTGTAGCCTTGTGTTCGGCTCTGACACCAGCGGAGCAGAGAGTTTCTCTTTGAGCCTCCATGGCGACGTAGCAGCAGGTTGAAACCATCCTGGGACCTGACAACCACAACATGCAAACTGCTGAGGCCCTCAGATGTTTTTGTTTAAACATATTTGGTTTGTTATCAGTTGGGCTTTAGTAGAGAAATGAAATCCTAATTAACACACTGATTCAAGTACGAGGAATGTTTTGGCCCCAATAATGACCTTTATGAGTTCACCAGAAAACTGTTTTTGGGTCAAAATGAGTTATTAGATTTACACAGGATGTAGCATTTAGGCTGCTCTCTTAGAGACAATGGTTTGTCAGTGTGTGAGTAGACTCACTTGGTGGGTGGCAGCTCAGTCGTGGCAGAGTTGTACTTGTTTAGAGACTCCTCACGTTTTCCTGTAAAGACAAGCAACCATACTACATTACCTAACAGAATTCTGTTATAATGCACACACAAAGCACCCTTAAACAGGCTACATGTTTAAAGCAGTGTTAACTGGTTTTTGGCCACTTGGATAGAAGCAGAACAGGCTGTAATTTTAATCGATTTGAAGTTGTGTTTCCAATATTCACTCTCCTTTAAGCTCTGTCTTGGTCTCCAACTCCTGAGAAAACGACGTGACCCTTTAGCAGCTAAATACCCCACTATGTTTACCAGGTAGTAGCTAACTTTGAGAGTCTACCGTTTGGGGATGAGCAGGCAGTGTACAGTTGGTCTGAGCTTTTATACTGAAAACAGCCGCCTGCTGCTGCTTGAAACAACGCTATAAGAGCGGTGAGAATGAACCACTGTGTAGTTGCCAAACCAAATCAAACCAAAATAGTGAGCTGAAAGACACTACAATGCTCCATAGAGCTGAGGGGAACTGCCAAGTTGGGTAAGAATAATCATTCCATGTGGGTTTGTTTACGAGCGTCCCCTTTCGTATTACGCAAGATCATTACCAAAACATATCTTTAAGTCTAACAAACATGTTGAATGCATTTCCTTCCCCATATAACATTTGTAAAGCTGCCTTCTTGAATATTTTAAAGCTGCCTTCTTGAAAATTTTAAATATTTGTTGGCACACTGCACTACACTTGTTGGCGTTGCCGGCATAGATTTTCATCCCCGTGCAAATATATCATACAAACAACAAAACTTTTAAAAACATTGCTCAATAGTGCTGCTTGTAGTCAAAAACTCCACAGGGTAAAATTGAACAGCTCTACCACAAACACATTCATACTGTGATACAAGTGTTTACAAGCATTTTGTAAACATGCACACACCCACACACCCACACACACACCCACCTGTGTCAGTGTTTGACTTGCTATCTTGCCAATCCAGAGTTCTTCTGCCTCTCGGCTGCCCCAAGTTCTTTAAAACAAACAAGATTCATTCAGATTAGGTCAACATCATTACATGAACAGCAAACCATGGATTTTCCTTGCAAACAAACAAACAAATGAAGGACTTTCCTCAAAACAAAGTATCCCACCTTGTTTGTAGGTCCAACTGTTGAGGCAGTATTGGACTGGGAAGTTCCATTCTGCATGGTGGGGGGGCCTGGGGAAGCAGGTAATCTGGACAGGCTTCTGTAACATTATAATACATAGTCAGGAGAACAGACCCGATAAACCAAACCAACTGCTTCTTTTTTCCTAGGACAGCTGTTCCACTTGGCTGCAGCTGTAAATTAAACTGTTTAAACTGTCCTCAAGTAGCCTTGTGAGAGCTTGTGGGTTGAGTGCAACACATTAAAAAAAAAATCACAGTCGTGACCAAATTTGGCAATTGGTTTCCATCTGTGACTGCTATCTCACAGATAAAAAATGTGGAGGACAAAAAACAGCTTTGTTTTAAAATATCTGACTTAAGTGCCACCTACCTAAAAATATGATTTTGTAATCGGTAGCAGAAATACTATTTGGTTTTGCATTTCCCCCAAAAAGATCAAGGTCCGACAGTTTTTCTCACCTTGACCTCTCTGTGGTTACCGCCCTTCGTGTCTCGCTGGCTCGCACCTCCTCTCTGCTCCTATCTTCATTGCTCACATTTTTCAGGTAACGCTTGGTCACACCTTTACAGTCTGTTCTGGCCTCCTCGCTTGCAACATTCTTCATCAATTCATTCTGACTCCTACTTTCCATCCCATCTTGCCCCAACCTGTACACCGCCCTCTCCCTGCCCTTCTGGGTTGCTTCTTTGCTTTCAGAGCTGTTGGTTGGTTCTCCATTGGACCTCTCTGGTTCCTGACATGGAGCCGGTGTGTCAGTTTTGCCTTGAGCCTGTTTGAGAGTAGCCAGTCGCTGCCTGCTCTCCTTTAACTCCTCTCTCAGGGTGAGCAGTTTCATATCAGCCTCCTTCTGTCTCTGCTGGGCAGCAGCCAGCTCCTTCTCGACATCTTTGTGCGCCGTTCGGAGAGTAGTCAGCTCTTCTTCTGCCTCGGCTCTCAGACGGTCTGCCACTGACACCGCCACCTGTAGGTCAGCCTGGAACTGTAGCCATTCCCCACGCTCCGTCTGAAAGGGGAACAATAGGGGTGTTTATGCGAAGAACACAGAACACTGTGTTCCAACTGACTGATGATGCTTTAGTGTTACCCATTTATGGCTTTTCTTTACAAAAGTGAGGCTGTTTAGAATATCATTAGTTTTGCAAGCTTCTGATCATAAACCAATATATATATATATTGAATATGGTTATGGTTAGTATGGTTCTCTCTCCACCAGGTGCCGGTCCGAGTCACATGCACATAGTACAGCCTCTATACTTGACTCAAACTGTTAACTCACAGTCCTTCAGAAAGAATGTTTCCCATTACTCAATACTCTGATAAACAAGACTGGTCTGTTGTACTGGCTCCATGTAGAGATATATTAAACCATAACCAATAGTGAGGGGTTTAGTCACTTTTGTGAAATACCTTTTTTATATACATCTCACAAAAGTGAGTAAACCCCTCACTATATCAAACTGTGGGAAGGAACTGTTCTCTCATCCACATGAATGAATGAAAACGGTGAAATAAAGTATATCTTGTACACATAGTTAATCACAATGTTGGAACAAATGTTTTTTTCCCCTCTCTGTGGTCACTCCAGGGCTCAGAATAATCCTACTACAGCAACTTCATATAAAAGCATACAAAAGAACAAAACAGGCTTTTTTAAAACCTAAACTGGATATGACCAAAACAAACATGGCTGAACCCTCAGCCGACAATGTCTATAATCAAATGAACAATCAAAAATCCATTTGGCTCTCATTAGGAGACTACAAGTTGAACTGAACTGAGTGGCAAGCCTCAGCAAGCAGAGCTGAGAGGAACTGGCAAGTCAGCTCTAATGAGGCATAACTGAATTGTGAGCCAAAAGGTTTTGTTCAGTGTTTTATTCATGTCATCTGAATTCCCCTAAAATAATAAGTGCTCAGTTTATTAATTTTTTTGTAAAAGCAACAAGTTTGGGCACAGACAGAAAAAAAAGATTTAAGCAACATTTTGAGAGGAGGGGCCAAGGTTGGATTGTGAAAGTGCCACCAACACTGTGGCTACATCTTAATGAGTGTTATCCATTGTAACTTTTGAGGCAGCATTGTTAGATGAAAACCTTCCTATGACACAGACTAAGTTTCATATCTTTGAGGATGAGTGATGTACATAAAGGTTCCAGTTTTACAAAGATTATTATTGCCTCGGACATGCACAAACACTGCCCCGACATCAATAGAAGGACTCAGAACCAGTGAGGCCAGAAGGTAAACGATACCAGACCATTAAAAAACGTTAAGCCGCCATCATCATAAAATGAGAGAGGGAATGAGAAGGAAGGGAAAGGAGGGACAATAAAAGCAGTTGAAATCACGCACAGATTTAATACTGCCTGTGGAGCAATGTAAGCCAGAGAGATGTGAGGGAGTGCTGAGAAGCGGAGGGGCTGGGATGGTGGGTAATTAGATGAAGAATGGATGGAGATGTGGAGGAGGAGGTGATATCTGAGCCAAGTCACTCCCTCATCTGACCAGTGACTCAAGAACACAGCTGGACCCGATTACACTAGATACATACACACACACACACACACACACACACATCATATTATATTCCTTTCTTCTCTCCCACACATACACACCTCCCTTATTCTTTTACCTCACCACCAAACCACATTGTTAAGTTTTCTCACACACGTCTACACATTCAGGGTAAGTCGGAGCACACTCTCCCTGGCTACATGTGTCAAATGAAAAGTAGGATAGTGGTCTCTGCTTGGAGAAGTTCTATTTTAAGAAATACTGAAACACCCACAGGACTTGAAGGAGATTGTCTTCAGAGAGCCTTTGTTATCTGGACGTGGACACTCCAACTGGAGCATGTCTGTTTAAGGAAACAGGAAAGGGCGCTCCTCAGTTCATACTGAGATAAGTGTGCGGATTGTCAGTCTTAAGACACACACACACACACACACTTTTATTCTCTGAAGAACTGACCTAGTGCCCCACTGCAAGACCAGATGTGATGTGCAGCATTCAAAGGCACACACACACGTACACTTATCCATGATGCAAATCTGAGTTCCTGACAATTGTGTCAGAGTGTGTGTGTGTGTTTTCCAAACATCTGTCCCAAGTTCACCTCCACACCCATTCTTTCTAATACGTACTTGGGGAAACATCCAAACTCTGTAAAACCTCCCCTCACATTTCATTCCCTTTACCGTAGTCACACGGAAGTCCAAAGTGGCCAAATCTCCCCCAACTGGCACATGAAAATAACTTGGTAAAGCCTCCAAGTTGGACATAAAAGAAAAGGGTCCCAAGGCACTGCCATTTACTCTGAGCTGCAAATTCAACGCAAGCCCCCTCCTCCAATTCTGCCAAACTCCCTAAATCTTCATTCTACATGCCTCTGAACAGCCTCTGTGGCCTTCAGATACAGGGCCTTTTTGAGTCTTGGTTGCTGGAGCAGCCTAGCGAAGAGAATAGAGAGCCAAAGGAATCTGGAGATCATTCCTGGAAATCTCCGGCAGCGTTCACCTGGAACTGATTCCTGAGCAGGGCTTTGAGATCGACTAAATCTCCAGGAGGGAGGGAACACAAATCTGACCAGCCACCCCCTCACACCACCCACTACTCAGCCATGAATGGGTGTTTTCATTTTTGTTGGTTCAGACAATTGAACACTGGTGGTGCACATAAGCATAGACAGATGGTACATCGGATAACATCCTTAGTAGTTCGCTGCACATTGGGTAATCATGTGTTTTTTCAGAATTCAGTTTAACTACAGTACATTAGAAATACATTAGGCCTGTGATAGTCAGAGAAAGACAGGAGCATTTGGGAAAGGAGGTATAAGGCTTAGCTGACAGAATGTGACTAGAATAATCAAGGCTAAGTCACAGGGAGAAAAAAGGGTCAAAAACAAGAGGTCAGAGCTAAAGAAAAAAGGCTTTAGCAACTTGGGGTCTTCTGAAAGAGTTGTTGAAGTGTGATAAAAGGAGGGGTGGGGAGAAGACAGAAGGGAATGAAGGGATGAGACAGTAAGGAGCATTGCACCAAAAGTTGGAGGGTAACTGTTTTGAGTTCTTGTGTTCAGGGAGGAGTGGTCAGCTCTCTGATGGAGAAAGAATGAGGGAATGAATAAAAGGCAGAGAGGCACAACAAGGGAAGGAGTAGGGGACACTTTCCCAACAAAACGAAAATTGCACAAGCCAGGACTTTAATACATCTTTACGTGTTTGTGAGTCTGCAGTCTCACGTGCAGTACACACACGTCCAGTCAGTCACTGTGAGCTCACCCCGCCACAAAGCACAAAACAAAACAAGTTTTGTCTCCTGAACAGCCGAATGTGAACCCCCTCCTCCAGATTGCACTCCCCTTCTCCAGCTCTCCACAAAAAGGCTCCCAGGACAGCAGAGCAGACTGCGGGAGTTCATAAAGTCGAGCTTTGCTGGCTTATATTGCCCTACCGAGGGCCCATGTAAACACAGTGTTGGATTGCCCCGACTTCTAATACATGGCTACCTCTCAATGCTATACCACAGTCTCTCTGAGGTTCAGCTGGCCTGCGCAAGGCTTAGTCCCTTAGAGCGATGTGGGAAAGTAGTGGAGAGAGAGAAGGGAAAGACAGGAGGGAGCAGGGATTGAATATCAAGTACAGAAAGAGGTGACACTCAGGAAGTGTGGAGTAGAGAGCTAGAGGAAATGATGTGTCAGATTATCACTTGATTTCAAAATAATGCAATTAAAATCACCCTTTTTTGTAATACACAAAAAAAAAATGTTTTAAATTATAGAAGTGAGGACAGTCACAGGGGAAGAAAAGAGGAGAAAAGAGCTGGGGTCAAGCAAAGCATAGGGCAGGTCATATTCCAGCTGTTGTAATCTAGAGGAAGCTGGGAGCCTCTGGCTACAATCCTCATAAGGGAGGGTCAGGGACTGGACCGAACGACTGACAGGAAATTACCGCAGCATATTACCATCCTCATAAGAACATGGAACGCCTAGAAGAAGAGCAATCTGACTGAAGAATGCTTGAAGAATTTTTATTCTTGGTTTATCCTAATTTGGGTTTGGAACCTAATAATGGGTTGATCTAAAAAAGCTGGTGGGTCCCTACTGGACAAGCATATTTCCTTTCAAAAGGAGTCACAACCATATGCAACTTTCTATGATCAACTCTACAAGGATGAGCTGAAAGAAATCTCTAAAGAAGATGATTTTGCTCATTTGGGCCTCTCCGGAGAAGCAGAGGACAGGAAGACCTCAATTAGCAAAGCTGCAGCTCCCAGCGGAGCCCATTCCAAGGCCTATTGTGATAGCGGGGATGGAGCATGACAGGGTGTCATCTCCTGGACTTCCTGTTTACATTGCTATACCTATCCACCAGGAGGTACATCTTAGTGGGAAAGGCAAAACAAACAAAATCAATACTCAAGAAATGCAATCTTTAGACGTTAGCTAAGCCTCAATCCTATTAGTTACCATTACTGTGTCTGTAAAGCTTTCAACTTTGGCACAGCACATACACAGATGCCACTCTCGAAAATCAGTCATTTTTTAAACAATGGGTCCTTCTTTTCAACAGGGGTAGACAAAAGCAAGCTTCTCAGCAACCATCAATTTTGCTTGCTGAAATAATTGTCACTAGCAGATTCAAAATCCCATTCAGACCAAATGAAAAAGATTGGTTGTGCTTATTATCTGTGACAACCACAGATACCGGATTTAATTAATTTATATGTCATATTAGAGCATCTGTGTTATTGGTTTTTGGTTTCCCCAGCACTGCCATATGGCTCTCAGTACAATAAGCCTCCAACATGTTAAATGGTTGGGAGTCATGGAATCACCAAAGGTCATACCTTAATGCTTCCATAGGTGAAAATATGCAGCAATAAAACATTCAGGATAGTTTTGTGGATCATACCCGACCCAAACAAGAGTTTGAGTCCAGTTTGAGTAAAGTTTTATCCATAGAACCACCAAGATTCACCACAGATGTAATGATTTTTTAAAAGACCTTCAAAATCAAATAAGATAACCACTGTTTTTGTTGTTTATATAGCTGTGCTTTAAAGTTTTGTTCCAATAAACCATAAAATAATATTTATAAGATATTTTAACTTAAAACCGGTCAAGTACCAGTCAAATCCAGTGTTAACAGAATATTGAATTGGGGAACCCTGTGAATTTAGAGCCATACTCTCCCAGTGGCTACATACATGATATTGTGCTAAAAGACTAAGGCTAAAGCTACATGTCCCAGACAAAAGTCATCATGCTCAGCATCCCTGTACATACACTCACTTGCCACTTTATTAGGTACACTTTGCTAGTGCCAGGCTGGACCACATTTTGCCTCCAGAACTGCCTTAATTGTTCGTGGCATACTTTCAACAAGTTAGAAACATTCCTCAGATTCCATATTGACATTATAGCATCACGCAGTTGCTGCAGAAGTCAGCTGCAAATTCATGATGTGAATCTCCCGTTCCACCACATCCCAAAGGTGCTCTACTGGTTTGAGATCTGGCGATTGTGGAGGCCACTGGAGTACAGTGATTATTATTGTCATCTTCAAGAAACCAGTTTGAGATAATTTGAGATTTGTGACTTATCCTGCTGGAATTAGCCATCAGAGGATGGGTACACTGTGGTCATAACGGGATGGACATGGTCAGTAACAATACTCACTTAGGCTGTTGTGTTTAAACGATGCTCAGTTGGTACTAAGGGGCCCAAAGTGTGCCAAGAAAATAACCCGCACACCATTACACCACCACCACCATCCTGAACTGTTGATACAAGGCAGGATGGATCCATGCTTTCATGTTGTTTACGCTAAATTCCGACCCGACCATCTGAATGTCGCAGCTGAAATCAAGACTCATCAGACCAGGCAACGTTTTTCCAATCTTCTATTGTCCAATTTTGGTGAGCCTGTGCAAACTGTAGCCTCAGTTTCCTGTTCTTAGCTGACAGGAGTGGCACCCGGTGTGCTGCTGTAGCCCATCTGATTCAAGGTTTGATGTGTTGTGAGTTCAGAGATAGTATTCTGCATACCTTGTTTGTAACGACTGGTTATTTGAGTTACTGTTGCCTTTTGGTCATCTCAAACCAGTCTGCCCATTCCCCTCTGACCTCTGACTTCAACAAGGCATTTTCGTCCACACAACTGCCGCTCACTGGTTATTTTCTCTTTTTCGGACCATTCTCTGTAAACCCTAAAAGATGGCTGTGCATGGAAATCCCTGTAGATCAGCAGTTTCTGAAATACTCAGACCAGCCCGTCTGGCCCTAACAAACATGCTACTTTCAAAGTCACCTCCCATTGCTCGGTTTGAACTTCAGCAAGTTGTCTTGACCACGTCTACATGCCTAAATGCATTGAGTTGCTGCCATGTGATTGGCTGATTAGCTATTTGTGTTAACAAGCAATTGAACAGGTTTACCTCATAAAATGGCCGGTGAGTGTATATTGCAATGTAGAGCTAGTTAGTTAGTATATGTAAAAATATAATCACTCACATTTCATTTCAACATTACCCTGTGTTTTCAAACAGTATGATTTTACCGCTACAAGAGAAAGGCTTTAAGGATGAGGACTAACCAAATACTATAGTGTATGAACTGAGCTTTTTTTAATGTAACTTGTAACCCCACAAAATAATGCTTCCTGGCTTTGTAATGCTTGGTTACTAGAAGCTAGTTAGCCGAACATGCTAACATTTGCAGCTTATGTAAGAGCAGTTAAACAGGCCATTTCCATCCATGCCCTTGCTCTTGAACTTTTGGTTTGGGAATAGCTAGAAAAAAAGACAATGCTCTGCTTTAACATGTGAAGAAATCCAAATCTGGAGAAGCATACAGCTCCTGCTTGCAATTGTTAAGCTAAAACTGGACAATCGCTGATCAGAGGAGGGGTTAGCAAATGTGGTCAATTGCCATTTGTATCACACTGAGCATGTAGCCAACATTTGGAGATTCAGAAACTGGACCGAATATATCTGAAAAACAAACAACCTTCCTAGCACATCTCACCTGCAAAGTACTCTTCAAACTCTTCACTTCTGTCAGTAGATGCTTCAGTATCTCTGAGGGAAGGATATGGAAATGTCAGAAGACATCACATGCATATCAAATATAAAAAAAATGTCAAAGAAATGGATTTGCCCTTCACAATGAAATGAAAAGTTTTAGTGCTCAAACAAGATCCTGCAGGCCTGAATGTAATTTATCAGCAGTATATTAAGCATATTTAGGGGAAAAGAGGATTGATGATGAAAACTGAAATACTTGTACTATAACGGATATATGACTCTTGCCTGCTGAGTTTGTGGCCCCATCCTGACTGGCAGTGATACCCAGTGTTGTTTTACACTCTTCCAGAAGCTTTTCCAGCTCCTCACCCTGGGTGTCCCCAGCTTCGTGACTGGGCAGTAAGGACTGACTCAGACCACTGTCCTTTTCTCTCCAGTTCTGCCCTGATGGGCTACCCACCACAGGTGAAGGACTACATGGAGAAGAAAAGCTCTTTGTAGGGCTGACAGCCACACTCTGCCCCTGGGAGACTGGAGACAAAGAGGTGGAGGAAGGAAGACGCCCATTCCACCCCAAGGCAGATTGTCCTTTAACCACAGTACTTCCTGGCTTGTTGTGCACCGGGCTAACTCCGGGGCTAATGGCGGAGACATTTGAGCTGACTGGTGGATGAGACCTCCAATCAGGAGGGGGACTGGAACTGGCAGCGGAAGTGCTGGACTGTGTTTTCTTCCCGCTGGATGTGAGGACCGGGACTGGAGGTTGAGATGAAACTGAGGCTGCAGGGGAAGGCTTAGGTGTGGTAGGGTGAAGGAGTTGGGTGACACCAGGCATGAAAGCAGGCCCATCACTCTGTGGAGAAGCAGGAGGAGTGTGGAAACTATCCCCATGGGCCCCTAGAGGTAAAAAAACTGAATTCAGATGAAAAAAGTAAGGCAAATACATGTTTAAAATGCCCTCAAGACATTTTTTAAGATATATAGAAATACACAGCTTTATAATAATAATGTTTCCAGGAAAAATGCCATGTTTATCAGTGTAAGAGCGCTAACGTTAACGAGCAGTGGTTAAACTATAGTATGCCTGCCTAAATGAAGTCATGGTAAATATATCTGCAACCTGCTTGTCTGTAGTTACAGTCGGTGGATCAAAAATTATTAAACCAGACATGTAAATAAACATGAGCTGAACAAATATCTAATGCAGCTTCTTAGCCAAACAAAGTTATCTACCTTCTCTTTCAATGTGAATTGTGAAATCTCAGTGTTGCAAGTCCTCATTGTAGACAGTCATGTAGTATTAGATGCATTCAACAGCAACATTTCCTCTAGGTCACTGTATAAATGTATATAGATGGCATGTTTTAGACGGCCAGATGGTGGATGAAAAATAGTTTCTCGTAGTAATTGTTTACTGACACTGAGACTGTAATCTAAGGTTTTTAAGGCCCGTTTTAAGTGTAGTTTATACAGGAAAAGAGTTTACCAGACAAACAGCCTTCTGTGTCAAACTGTGCATAGATCATTCCCTACAGTGAAGGTTAAATGTCCAAGTGAAGTAAACAATAAACAAGACTTATTTTGGAGGGGAACTTTAAAGTTATAAATGTGTGAGAGACACAACAGAACAGATTGGAAGAACTGACCGAAAAGCTGAACCATGGACAGAATGAAGGGCAAAAACAGTGGTCTGGCATGACACTGAAAATACCATTCAGTGAAGTGACCAGAGCAGCAAGGCCCTCATTAGCCAGCAAACATGCAGGCCATGCCCCTGAAGATGAATGTTTTAATACAGACATTCCTCTTGGACTGCTCATCCACAATGTTGCTCCGACACTCATTCTGCAAATTCAGGAATACTCACATACACAGAGGACAAATGTGTCCCATACAGAGATAAATTTGCAGCAGTGGGCCACATATAAATTTCCAAACTTGACACAATAACAATAACACAAGCGATTTTTACTTTTTGGCTCTGCACTCCTCCCCCATAACAGCCACATGCCACCATTAATAACTTTGGAAGCTATGGGAACCACTGGGCATGGTATCTCCTTTTCTTTCCTCCTTTTCCTTGTTTGGACAAAAGCCTCACTGCTAGCAAAATGAATGTGTATTTTTATTTTTTCTTAAATGATGTAAGAGCAGCGGTCGAACATTTGCAAAGTTATGCACCACCTGCTCTAAGGCCAAGTCACTGAGAAAGAATGACAGGAGTGTCTAATAACTTTCTCATGCCACTCCTGCTTTTCATTTCTTCATTCCAAACCTTAATGTGTTCGTCCAACCGTGCGCACGGGTGGCAGATTGACTGAATAAGAGTGTGTGTGTGCGTCCATTAAGGTGTGTGTGTGTGTGTCAGATAGCATTAGGCTTCCTATGATTAATCCGCTGCCCTTGTGCTGAGCCGGGGAATTCTGCCGATTCATCACAGCTGGCCCGGCGGGGCCAGAACGAATCACACAGGGACGCGAGGAGAATGACCACTCACTGAGCAGCACACAGGAGGGCTGCCAAGATTCCTGCTGCCACTCAGCGCGCGCACACACACACAAACACAGCCTTTCCGCTTGCTTCTCCTTTTGTTGCCTTCAATATCCTGATTACCCTTTATGCACCCCTCTTTCATGCAGTCTGCAGCATCCTTGCTCTTCCTGTATTTCTCTTCTTCTTCCCTGTACCGTCCTCCTCCTCCTATATATACCAGAGGCTTGAGGTATGCTTTCTTTAGTCTCAAAACATGAGGTGAGCATCCATACACGCACACATTGCCAGGCATCTGTGTGTATTTCCAAATATAAAGTGATTTGACCAGAGCTAGTTAAAAAAAAGAAAAGACTACAGGCTCTTAAGTGTGGGTGTGTTGACCTACCTGATGGTCCATGGCTGTCCTTGCTTGAAAAGTTGCCCATACTGCAGTAATGGAGTTTGGGCTGCTGATGGGGCCCACACCAAAGTGGCACAGTGGAGGTGACCTATGCGTGCGGGAGCACACACACACACCAGGACATCCAGTGAGATGAAGGATGAAGTCATGTACTGTTATCCAGCTGAGAAATAATTCAGTGACTACAGCTCTGAACAGAACCTTGTTTCCCCCACAGTTCATGGCAGACTGAAGAGGGGTTACAGGGAACTCGCGCTGCTCATTTGAATGTTTAAATGTGTTTTAACACAACGAGGCCAAAATCACAGGGATGCAATCAGCCGTAAGAAGCAGCACTCCTCCAGTGTGATAACATGTGACAAACAAAGCTGTTGCCATGTCAGGTTTAAAAGCATCTAAATAAGAATAACCTTTCACATGCGATGATAAACGCAGCTAAAACCGACACATTCCGTGTCACTGAAAAAACAAATTTGAGATTAAACATAATTTTGTTCTAACGCCACAGACTTTAACGCGCAATCAAAAACTTTTTACAGTGAAGCCCGAAGAAGTAAGTGTGCCTCCAGGAGTTTGGAAACGTGTGCAGAAAAACAGCGTAACTTTTCTCCCACTAGGCCTACCTTACAAACCTAAACCTTAACTTTGTAAAGCGATGAAAAATGGATACAAACCCTTGAAAGCAGACAAACAAATGCCAGATCCTTTTGTTCTGAGTTTGGTTACCTCTTCCTCGCCACGCTTTGCTTCCTTCAGCGCTGCCCAACCAAGCGCACTGCCCTGCTGCGTCTTCACTGAGGAGACGAGATGGCTGATAGGGAAGTGTTGCTGCACTTCCTCAGAACAAAGTTTAAACCGGGCAACATTTTGCTGCTGGCGAATATTCTTATGAGAAGACAGCAACTGATCCGCACTGGAAAACGAAAGTGGGAAAATGCCCTGAACATGGATGACTGATTGCGCCTCTAAACGCGGGATGTGTCCACTGGAGGGCACAGTTAGGCTGTGTCCGGAAGAACCTGTTGCCTCTAGGATGTGTGGTTTGGCCCTTCCTCCTCTCTTCAGTTATTATCAAGCGGGCTCTCACATGCTCATGACCCACTGGCCTACTGTACCAGACAGCTCCAGGCGGGAAACTTCTAGTTGCCCTTTACTTATACCAGCTTTTAGATGAAATGTATTCAAACAACCCCACTGATTGTTTGGCCGCTACACCCCACAGAGTTTTAATAACATGCAGACAGTTTCAGTGCAACACCTGCATACTCTTTGGCATGAATGCAACAAGTTGATTTCATTTATTTCCATAGTGGCCCGCTGTGCCTGTGGTAAATTACGCATTTAAGGGAATGTTGTGACTTGCGGATTTAATTCGCATTTTAGTAAAATGTTTTACACCTGTTTTTAAAACTCTAATAAATTCACCAGCAGATTAATTCTGACTGACTTTTGACTATGTTTTGTGTTTTACCAGTGCCGGTCTTTAGTATGCTCAAACACATGTAAATAGTGAATGATTAAATAAATATTTTACTGAAATTAATCTATTTAATTAATCTAAGCCTTTAATCATGACTGCATTGCAGGCAATAAGAATAATACATTGCATGTTTGAGACAAATAAAATAGATTGTTCAAATAAATTATGGCACAATATTTGTACATTTCTATTTTTTGAAGTCTGCAGTATCTGCAGCTATTCTTTTGATAAACCTATTCCAACCAAAATCTTGCGAAATCAATATATTTGAGTTGATTGTTGTCTTGACACTTAGTTTTGGTGATTCCTGCATGTGCAGAGTTGTGAACAGGTGGATTCAGGTGTCCTTAACATCCACTTTTTGACAACAAACCTGCTTCTGAATCAACCTGCTCCTGTTTTTTTACTTCATCACAATTTGCTTTGGGTAATAATTTGAATGTGGATATCAAGATATGTTCAACCCTTCCCAACTTATTAACTTTAGCTTGTCCTCCACTTTGATATTGTACTATAGCTCCAACTGTAATTGAGAAATGATTCACCCTGCTAACAAAGATGACTTTATGTGAATATGTGAATCTATGTGAATAAAAATCAGTGTCTAATCTCTTTATACCTAATTACAGCAAAACAGCATGAATTGCACTTTGACTAAAAATATTTATTTCTTGGTACAAAAAGCACAATACTGTACAAAAACAATCAGACCCACAGGTGTGACTTAGTGACTAACAACAGAGCAGCATGTTTGCCAAATGCTTTTATTTCATAAATCTCTTCCAACATCTTTTCATTAAATATTAATTATATTGCTAACAGCACAAATCTCCCCTTAAACTGGCACAGCTGAACGTTTACAGACTGAAATGAATGAGCACTGATGTGTGACCCTCAACAAGCGAACAGATGAATACTGTGCTTTCAAATATCATTCTCTGTGTTTTATTCCATGAACAAATATGTTTTCAGATATTACTTTTCGTCGGTGCGCTGTGTCTTAGCAGTTCTCCCTCATAAACTGTACAATGCTGAGAGAAACAGAAAGTTTGCTGCAGTGAGGAGACAAGCTCTCCCTCACTCTCTGATTGAGATCAATAGGTTTGCGCAGTGCTCTGTACTCACTGTGCACCACTACAGTATAAAGAGAATCCATCAAAACCAGCCAGGTGCATTACACAACCGCCAGCCTCCACCCACACTAATTTCACACTTATGGGTGCAATCCATGAACATGCCTATAAAATGCTGTCACATCTGAATCTCTTACACCTGAAAAAAAAAAAGACCCAAATTTTCCTGTATTTTTCCCTCAGGCGTTTATGGTGACCCAGAGTGTCCTGTTGTTTTGAGACCATCACAACCCCATTATGAAATTGTTTATGGGTGTCAGTCTGTGTCCAGAGTAAGGTGACCAATTATTCAGTGTCTGATGCCAGTTGGAGCCATTAGCCCCCTCTACTGAGTGGATTATAGCCATTTTGTTGGTGACCTACTGTGCTAGCACTCTGGGGGGCCTCTAGTGGGGCTCTAAAACCTCCCAACCTGCCACAACCAGCAGCTGATCCAATTTGGCAGACAGACAAGGACAGCTCTTCAGCAATGAAGAACTGGATTACAAGGTCTGGCTGACCTCTAAGTGATGAAACACTCAACTTTCTCAACATCCTCCTTTCTCAGAACTTTCCAGAATACTTGGGAACTTTTTCCTCCTCCTTTCCCCTGTTTGCAGAGGAATACAGTCCTCTGGTTTATTTATGTCACCACAATATCTGAAACACAAAGCCCGATATATATAAATATATAAGACATTATGAGCCTGTGCTATCCATAAGGCACGGCACGCATTCTCAACCACGCTCAATGTCTCGCCAAATCTCAAGTCCCTTTAAACTGCTACATTTTTAGTGCAAACGCAAATGGAAACACCAATACCATAATTTAAAAATCCATGTATAACAGTGGGACCAATGGTGGACACTACAGGGGGAATGGTACAAAGTTGGGATGCACAGGGACTGTCTGCCTCTCACGGGTCCTTGTCTCTAATACCAGATTAGGTGAATGAGTATGTGTACCAGAAATAATTATCCACCTGTGTTAATCCCATCAGAGGACACAGGCTTATCTCGAAGGAATCACTATTCTACCTTGCCCGCCTGCCACCCGCAGAGTCCCAGCCAGGTAAATTAGGATTCATAATCCAGACTCGGAACTTCACATCAAATGTACATAACTTTTTCTATCAAAAGAAGTGTTTTCAATCCAGAAAACTGCCCTGCCACCCTCTGCTATTCTTTCTAACCTTTCTGAACACAGAAAGCACCTAGTCACTGACTCAGCCACGAAGCCAACCTGTGTCGTCTGCCTCTGTCTCTTGATTGACAGCCGATGCCAGACTGCGCCAGCAAACGCCAAGGCTTGTTGATGGATGGCACCTGCTCCTCCTCAGAGGAAATCAATTGAAGTCATGGGCTGGGATGGGCTGCTCAAGCACTTACACATGGCTGTCTGCCTGGGGAGGGGAGGGGAGGGGGAGGCACAGAGAGAGCGTTGCCAACCATCTGTGTAAAGAGGGGCACTGCCAAGCGTCAGTCCCTTTTTTACACCAGGCCTCAAAGAGACACACAATGTCTCCAAATTAAACATGTTAGCTCCTTCAAGCTACATTCAGCAACAGTATTTGGGAAGTTCCAGCATCATTATGTACTCATCACCATTCATACTGCTTATTGCTCTCTCAGTGCATTACAGACTCTTTAGTGGCTAATTGATACAATTCAATAGCTTTTAAACTATTTTTATATGTTGCACTAGTTACAGAAGTAAGACACCCAACTTCCTGCCAACATAAAGGTTGAGATCAGTCAAATATCTACACCTGCACACCATTAGAGAGCACATGGGCCACATTGGTGCAATGGGCCAGCATAGCTACAATCTTAGACATGTACAAGTGTAGTTATTGGAACTCAACCTGTGATGTTGGCCAACCTAGCATCACAGGTTATTTCAAGGAACTTTCTGGCCCACAAAGGAGGGAGATGGTATCTCCTGGCAGGCACCGGCCGGGCGAGTAACTTCCATCAAGGGTTTCCTATGGGCAGCTGTGCGCATCATGCTGGCATCAGTGTGAGAGCCAACCCACTGTAGCACACGGGCAGAGGGACGGTGGTGGAGGGCCAACTGCCGGGAGCTGTAGCCACACATCCCTATCCCCACGGCCCCCAGCAGCATAGCCATGCCAGGCATGGTTTTCTCAGCTGGAGGCGTCACAGACACGTTATGGTAGGCCTGGGTCTGAAAGGGGAGAAAAGTGGAGAGTGAAACGTGATCAGGGTAATGTTGGATTTCCTTGGTGTTGTGTGAGTATGAAAGCATTAGGCTAAGGGCTTTCAAAGCAGTCCAAAGAATAACACAATTTCCTGTAAAACAATGACCAGAGTTATGATTAGTTAATATCCATAGCATGTGTATGTATGGATGCAGATCAATTTTAGGCCAATACAGCACAGGAGGACAACATGCCATGCAGCCCTTTTTCTAAATATTTGTCTGCATCAAATGAGTGGGCTACAATATGGTCACCTCAACCCATCCAGCCCTCCCACCAATCCCAGAGAGATTAAAAACTCCTCTTCTCTCATTTACCAAATCGCCGTCTGTTTCTTTTGACAAACAAAAAGCTTGTCTATTTTGCGACATGGGCAATTTCCTTAGTGGGCCCTTGACGATTATAAAGAGCATAGAGGAGCAAATAATAGAAACCTCACAGTCTCTAATGGAGCTGTGTCACAGACAGTTAAGAAGCCATCACTGTAGCTCACTCAGCCAGTTCCCATTTCCATTTCCAATGCAATCGACTGTCACAGGCTTGGATTTCTCCATTGTTTGTGGTAAACACCACCACAAAAGTGATTGTGTTTTGTGAGCTAAAACAAAATGCATCCTATAGTTACCGAAGCCTGGAACAAACTCATATCTGTGGGTGGTGTGTCTATAATATGATAGTACTGTATTTCATCATCCTGTCACAACAATCTGTTGAGACATATGACTGAGAAAATGGCTGTATAAGAGCAGCATAAGGCTTTGTGATATCAACTTGCAGAATGCACTCTCTCTCTTTGTCTATAAACTTCTGTACGCGCCCATAAAACCAGTACCTTCGCAAACACTTCATTACATCAATGGCTGCTCTCAGAACTGTAAAAGTTATTTCATCTGCAACTTTATTCTACTCCATAAGGACCAGTAGAGACAGCGCATGCCAAGCACTATGTAATCTACACTTCAAATCCAAAAACACTGAGAGGGCTTTCAGCCTTTTTGTTTTAAAGGTCTCCAATCAAAACAGGTAGCTTGTTGCAGAAACACTGCAATAACGTGCAAACGTGCTTCTAAGATCACGGGCAAGCAACTTCCACTGACTCAGCACTTTACGCTCCTGCTACTCAGTAGTATAGACAGCTTTATTGTCACTATGCAGTAAGAAGCACAGCACATGATAATATTCATGTATGTGGTTACAGTATCTACTTGACTCTAAATCTTGTTCACCTTTACAACAAAGTAGCAATGCAAGATCCAATGTTTCACTTTATTTCATGAATGCTCAAATTGACCAAACGATTAAAATCTTCACAGTCTGCCAAAATGCTCACACTCACCTGCAGCAGCCTGATGTAGCCTGGGGTCAGTCTTGGGAGTCTGAAAAACATTTTGAAGCGTTCCTTTATGGTCTTCCTATTAAAATAGGAATGAATAACAGGGCCAGATAACACTTGGTTCTCTCAGGCTCCTTTCCTGGACTCCCAGGACGGGATACCCACTGACAGAGGGTCTGTCCGGGTGTGTGCTCGGATACTCCAACCTGTGCTCAGCTATGTGATGCAGGACAGCCTGGTCAGCCGTTATAACGTCTCCTTCCAGCCTTTACATAACAGGCAGTCTGCAGGTGGTGTGTCTAAGGGGATTACAGAAGCTGGCACACAGGAGCGAAGAAGTCGGTCCAAACAGAAGAAAGGCTGATCGGAGTATACAGCTTAAATATCACAGTATCCCGACTCCAGTAGTGGAATGATATTTAAATTATATGCTACTGTTTTACAGAATTCTGTTTGGAAATTAAGGCCTTCAGGCAAACTGTATTTAAAATGTTATTATTAAGGTTTTACAGTTGGTTTGCATGTATGTATAGTTTTGTTACAGTGGAATGCAGTTTATTGGATAACATTGGGTATAGTCTATTTAATCTTGCATACATTTGCCACATCGTGATGCATATCAATACATAAAATAATATAAAATAGTCTTTTCAATAATGTGATTATTTCAGCCATATCACCCATAACAGACTGTATACAAGAGTGTATTAATTTATTTCTATGGTGGATGTGTGCAGAGAATCAGAGGGGTGTTAATGTACACAGTTTGTGAGCAGTTTACCATCATTTTCAATGTTTTGGATTCTTTCTTTTATTTGATTGGAATATGACACCAAACAAAGTGCAAAATGATGAATGAGAAGTTAACTAATTCAGGTTTTAGCATCAAGTGTAAGTGATTTCTTACTTCAGCAGTTCCTTAAATAGCTTTATAAAGAAGGCACAAGTCATTTGAAGTCAGAACCACTAGAACCTATTTGAATCTGCCGAGTGGGATGATTTGGATGTTTTTCTGTTGATGTTGAGAATGGCTTCTCCTGCCATCTCAGCAAATTTCTTGAGAGCTTTAATATCCTCCCTGGCCTAAGGGTCCTTAACTCAGAGTGAGGTCTTATAATGAGGTAGCTGTTCTGATAACGTCTCTCTCTCTCTCTCTCTCTCTCTCTCTCTGTGGACGAGAGGAATTCTCTCCAGCAAGAGCAGCCAACAATGACCTTCTTCTCATCTCTGGTAATAGGACCCAATTCTGCCTCCCAACTCATGCATCCATGAATAATCTCAACCCCGCCATTAATGGTGCAAAGTCATGGTGCCACTCAAAGTTGTTGTTTGTTTTTGTTTTGTTGTTTGCTAATGTGTTTTTCCGTTTAAAACTAAGAGAAGCATACCAGCAAATACTTGAAAAAGTAAAGAGGGACTCAGTAAAAGATTTATAAAAAAAATGTCATCAGGGATCTGTCCACTTGAAACTTCGCTTGCTTTCTCAGATAGAGGAGACGTTGCTGACTTTTCTTACTCAGCATGTCTGTGTTTAGTTCAGAGGTCAGCTTGTTTTATTAATGATGATTCCCAGATACTTGTATGACTCAACAATTTCAACCTCTTTTCCAATCGTCTTTTCAGGAGTTGGAACGTGACGTCTAAAATCAATGCACATGTCCTTCGTCTTTGTAACATTTAAGTCTAAAAAGGCTTCTTTGCACAAGTGCAGGGCCGTTGTTTCAGTGGTGTCCATTAGACTGTGTCATGCAAACTTTACAATTAGCAATAAACACAAAGCAGAGCAGAGGGGGATGCAAATGTCAATAGTGTTACAGGAATCTAGTTATAAATGTAAATTATAAACGTAAACGTATTGGATGAATTAAAGTTTTGTCCTCATGGCGGTGCTACATGAAAAGTTAAGTCAGCACTAACAGATTTTTAAGCCACTTGGAGGCAGCAGAAACAAGTTGTGCACACAACATTAAGATCATATGGCAAACTTGTTAGCAACCTGTACATAATTACACATCCAACATGGAGTATCATTAATTTGTAGTTGTGTTTGTGATCACCTGGCAAATGTAAGTCTTATATTTACTCTCTTTTAGCTCAGTTTTTGGTCTCTATATGAGAAGTATCTGGCTCTTAAGCTGCTAAATGCTACAACTATTGATAACTGTCTGCCGTTTAATGCAGCTAGTGCAAAATGGGTTTTCAGAGCTTTTTTTTTACTGAAAACAGCTGCCTGCATCAGCTGTAAACATCTTTAAAGTGCTGAGAGTAACGATGATGGCAGGACAGCTAAATAATGAGTTGAAACTTGTTATCAAGCTTCACAAAGCTGTGGGGAGTTGCAGATTTAGATGACAATTCTCTGTAGGTTCGTCACTATCACATCACTATGAGCCCTTTCACACTGTCATTTGATACATGGTTATTATATATAAAAATATTGATTATAGCTACATTGGAGGGATAACCAGAGTTATTACAACTGATCCTGTTGTCTGCACCAAATGTCAAGGCAATCCATCCAAGAGTTATTGACACATTTCGCTAAAAAAACGCAAATGTGGACCTCGGGGTGGCACTAGAAGAAAAGCCACTGATTAGGATGATTAGGGCTGCATGGCTGTCTATACCAACATTCATGCCAATCTATCGAATAGTTTTTGAGATATTTCAGTTTGGACCAAAGTGGGGGATCGAACAGACCGACACTGCCATCCCTAGAGCCATGCAGATAAAGTGCATGATCACCTTTATATTATGTTATATAAGCATGTCAGGCAATGTGCCCTTGTCTGGCTAATGTCTGCAGAATGAGCCCATGAGCTTCCATCAGACAGCTCCTGCTGCGTCCATCCATTAATACAGGCCACAGATGGCAACCCTGGTGCTAACTGTTCACCACTATAACACTACACACACACGCTCAGAACTGTGTGTTGCAGTGTACAGTAAAACCTGCCAGTGTGTACTGCTGCTTCCCAGTTCTGGAAAGACAACAGTAGCTCAAGAGCTGGTCTCTCTCAGGTCATCACAATGGCACCGTCCAGTCGAGATAATTCTCTGCCCTCTTCCTGAACTCATCCTCTGGCATTGAGCTATGGGTAAATGTATTAGAATAGATTATCTCAGCTGTAGACAGGTATGGTAATGCGGAAGGTTAAGCTACTGACTCCCTGGGTGGTACTGTTTCCCAAGGTCCATCAACAACATAGTGTGCTGTTGCTATATTGAGCGTAATGTTAGGTAAGGGCAACAAGTGCTTGTGTTTATCACGTAATGGGAATAGTTATTGTTCTTAATCATTCAGTCCTGTAACGAATATCTGCTGAGACACCATTAGTACCATCAGAATTACCTCCCCGAAGACTATTCATTAATCCAGGGCAGTTAGGTGAAAGAGCAAATTTGAAAAGGCACACGGAATAGCAACTTGGTCAGAAATTGATTTGTGGGGAGTGTACTGTAGATAATTGAGGAGCTATTAGGTTAACCGGCTGGGTTTAAATGTCATAAGATCTGCAAACAATCCTGGTGCTCCAGCAGAGCTGACATTTGTTTCTCTGGCAATTAAGAGGGTTAAATGAGGAGGACAGGTGTTGTGTTACTACCAATTTAATGTTGGTTTCATTTTAAACTATATACAACTCTGACAAACAGGGAGGTATAATAGCTGGGTTGATAATGACAACTTCAATCTTACCCATGGTGGGTGGGAAGGAAGGATTTACCCGGCTCAGGATTAAATGGCTTTGTTTCCTTCTTGTACAACATAAGGTATGAAAATGGATTAGACAAAAGGTATAGATCAAAAGGAAACATATTTAATGACAGTTTTTATACTGCATCATTTAAAGTCCAACATTGTGCAATGCAGAATATGAGTGGAACATTTCCAGAACTTTCTTGTCTAAAGTGATAAAGCACAGTGGAAATAATTCTTCAGCAGAGTCTTTGTTTCAGTGTGACTGACAGTCTCATGGGTGCATGGTAGAAAGCCCTGTCTTCTTGTCTCCCTGCATGGGAAGGATGTCTGTGATCCAGTATTGGAAAAGTGAAGTGACTGCCGTGGTTTCCTCTACAACACAAAGACATAGAGCAATATTTTAGTTACAGCTGAGACTGCTGCTGACACCACAAAAGAGACATATTTGTTATTGTATTTTCAGCACAATAAATCAAAATCCCAAGCCGGTGTTCAAATCTACCCCCTAGCTCTCTGCATTTAGAGATTCAACCTAACACCATCGGTCTCCTGCCTTATTCTTTAAAAGTTAGTATTGAATTTAGTGACTCTATGCAGAACATAAAATGTACAGTAAAAGGGGGAGCAGTCAAGTCGATGTCATTCATGAGAACAACTCCAGGGTGCAGTAAAATATGCTCAAAGGAAATCTGCTCCTGCACTAAATTGATTGCCACTGCAAGGGTAGAGGGATAGAGCGAGGGAAGAAGTTAAAAAGCACACGTCTCCAACAAGCACATGGATTAGCTCCTGGATGGCAGTGCATGTGGGTTACATTTAAATACAGACTGCTGTATTTGTACAAGGTGGATGTTAATCAAGAATATCAAATGAATTAACTTATATTGCAGCAATTCACATGTGAAGTCAAATACAGAGTACCAGTGCCTTCACCTCAAATGTTAACATAGCACTTTTTTGTTGCCGTTTTTTTTTTTTTTTTTTTTTTTTTTAAACACACCGTTGTTGTCAGATGCGCGCATCATTTTGTGGACACTGATATGGCAGCGGCCTGAATCTGCTGGCTGATCTCTCTGCCTGTCTTTCTCACACACATACACCTGTGCGTGTGAAAACCGTAAAGTCCCTGCTGATCCTATTAATGCAGCCAGCTAGCCAACCATGCAAATACACACACACACATACGGAAACGTGCCTGGGGACTGATCAGATGTTTTGACTGTTGACAGAGTAATGGCAAGATGAACAAGTTGAAACATGTTTGTTCACTCACAGTGGAGGTCAAATGTGTGTGAGATGTAATACAGACAAGACCAGCTCTACTATTGCACATTAAGGGCAGGTACTTACAGGTAAAGGCCAATGAAGGCAAGTAAGGGCAGGTATACACAGGTGAAAAATAAAGATCAGTGTAAGGGCGCATAAAATAGAAGGCAAGCATGGGCAGACAGAGGCATGTATTAACCTGTAGGGACAGGTCAACAAGGGCCTGGGGCTGATCCTAGCAAGAGGAGGCCAGTATGTGCAGGGATGGGGATGAATGCATGTAGAGCCCATCGTTTTCGTCTAGCATGACCTTCCACGACTTCCAAGAACGTGTCACTGACCTGCGGACATAGATGTTTTGTAGAGCTCCTTCAGAGCCTTTTCCAGTTTGTCTATCTGTTTCTGCTGAACAAAGGCCTTTAGGCTGTAGAGCTGCTTCAGGACAGAGGGCGGCTTGCGTCCACTGGCTATGCTGCTCAGAAGGTCATCCACCGTCTGAGACAGGACAGGAAGCTTGTCTGCACGCAATAAGGCTGGAGAAGCACGGGAGAAGTGAGAGGTGGTCTGTCAGTTAAAGTTGAAATTATCTAACATTAGAGGAACGTAATCCAACTGGAGCTGACAAAACAAAAGAGGTACCTTTATAAACTGCACCAAATATAGAGCAACAGTTTTTTTAAACACATATTTTATTTCTTTACTTATTTAACCATGCTTCACTTAACTGGCTAGAGTACCAATAGAGAAAACATTACTAGTTTTGTCTTTTCATTTACAAAGCCAGCAGACTGGCCAAATCTCATATCTGTGCAGTGCAGTCTCACTGTTTATTTTTAGTCTCATTCATTTACAAGGCTCCTCTACCAGCTATCGAGGAGCTTTCTCTTATTTTGAACACTGGCCAGGGCCTAATCTACAGCACACCATGCGACGTAATGAAATTGTTTCTCTAGGCCTTGATTAAAAACTTAGTCAGTCAGCCGCAAATAATCCCTATATTAAACATGATTTTAATTTGTAATTTTTACAATATCTGAAACACTGTAACATTTGTAATATTGGGGTATCTTAGCTTGGTTTCCTTTACAATGAAAGTTCATGTAAATGTAAATACATAAATCAGAGCTGTTGTCAATGATTTCCAGTTAGCACTCAGATATACTGTATATACATCTGGCAAGAAAAAACTGTCACTTAAGTGACTTAATGGCACTGCAATTTTAGCTATTACACTTTCATCCAATTACTGATGCTATACTGGTTAATTCACGCTGGGACTGTCTCAAAAAAGCACAGATGTGCTGTGGCAGAAGTGCAATGAATTCTGTTTTTTTTCATTAACATGCTTTCAACATTGGCACTACTTGGTGTTTTTAAGGGGTAACTTTGGTATTTTTCAACCCATGTTTTTGTGTCTGTGTGACTAATTGGGACAATATGTTTTGAAATTGGTCCAGTATTGAGCAAGCACGCTGCAGTGGGCAACAGCAAAACAGGGCTGCACCGTAATACTTACTAATACTGTTAAATGATACTACCATACTGACAACATTATGGAAATGATTGCTACAGAGATAGACCTTTTTAAAAGACTAAGCTAACCAGACACTTGTATTAACAATCTGAACTGGTCAGTGGCAAAAACAAGCTCTTTAGTGGACGTAGGATTACGTAGCAGCCCTGTTTTACAGTTACTGACTGCAGCATGCTCGCTCAATAATGGACCAGTTTCAAAAAATGTTGTCCCAATTAGTCACATAGACACAAAAACATGAGAGAAGTTTTAAAAAAATACCCCAGTTACCCTTTAAACTTCAGCCTAAAAAGCCACTAGTTTTGTGCATAATAAATCAAACTACTCTGCTTTGGCAGTGGCTACAAGATTTAGCACAGAGAACAAAAGAAAGCAGCTGATCCAAAAACACAAACACCACTCTGTTCAATACCTACAATCTGACATATAGATTTCCATTGTTGTGCTGAGGAAGTCTGACACCTCAGCAGCTCTCCTTTCATCATCTTCCTCCTCATCCCCATCTTTTTGGTATGTGAACTCCAGGGCAGTGGCGCGGGGCATTAGACCCATGGAGAGCAGCTTTTCTTTGTGCCGTTTCTTCTTCAGCTTCCTCTTCTTGTTCCTGCTAATGCGTTCTCCTCCCTCATCCACAGGTGTCTGACCTGTGCTGGGCTCACTCACTGGAGCTGCTACATCTTTCCCATAGTCATAGTGGAGGGTTGGTTTTCTTTTCCTTTTCCTTCTCCTTTTTCTTTTCTCTTCTTCTTCCTCTTCATCTCTGTCTAGTGCTTCATTGCCATCATGGACGCTCTCCTCTGGTGGAAACAAGATCGTAAACTCTTGATTAGTTTCAAACGCTGTTGAACTTAATCAATCCATTGCAATCTCCCCATGCACCTCTACTTTTGGGCAAAAGCAAATATCAGATTGTTGTATTCACATTGTTAAAAGATCAGATTCTGTGTCACATATTGGAGTAGGGTGGGTTTAACATGCAATCTGTATAAGGCCTTATGCTGCGTTTGAGACAACTCGGAACTTCTGACATAAAGCATTCCGGGTGAGTGATGGTGCATGACGCCAAAAGTGAACGAAAACATGGCTGACCGTGACAAACTGAACTGTTTCTTTGTCCAGTGTGCACACAATTGAACTCTCATCAGTGGTGTTAATTAAAAAGATGGCCGTTTTAATGAAAACAAGTGACATAAATAATAAATATAAATAAATAAAGCGCAATAAAATGTAAGTTACTCGTTAACCGTGTTCCCATTTAGCTACATCAGCTGGTAAACTGCAAAAGTCTGTAAATGTTGTATATTTAGGGCCCAAGCAACTTCTGACGTTTAACTCCTTCGTGATTGGTCAAAAACACGCGATAATTCATAGCCATGTCTCCCGACCTCTGGCCACTGCACCACGGCCCCATCAAGCCCCGACAGACAGAACAGGTTTTTCAATTTGACAGTATGTATTATATTAATTAAATACAGCAGGCAAATATAATTTATGTTGCTTTTTAGTTTATGATTTACTATTTACAATGTGTTCTTCCATGGGAGATGCCATTGTTGTGTGACATCCTTCAGCGGCTTCTTCATGAAGTCCGGTTATATATTTTTGCTCTGAGTTCACAAGTGGGAACCAAGACTTAGAGTGGGGTTCCATTGTACTAGAGGGGTCAGAAATTTCCTAGTTCCAAGTTGTCTCAAACCCAGCAGCCACCCACACACAGGCTACAACCAATAGGGGGATTCGAGTCCCAGTAATGTCCAATAATGTGGCATTAAGGGATGAGAGACTGCAGGTTTTCTTGCAGCTAATCACTGCACCAGCTGATTCCACTAATGGGATACTCCATCTTTTTAGCTGATTGCATTCTAATCAGCTGGTGTGGTTACTGATTTTAAAAAAAACCTGCTGGAGCTTGACCTCACAGACCACTGTTGATTGAAAAAAGTACAGCAGAATCAGTTTACTGTATGTTTGATGTTATGTTGCTCCTCTTGACAGAATAGTAGACAGTAGAGCTGCAACGATTAGTCGATTAGTTGTTAACTATTAAATGAATCACCAGCTATTTTGATAATTGGATTTTGAGTAAAAAAAAGTTTAAATTCTCTCATTCTATCTTTTTAATGTGAACGTCTTCTGCATTCTTTACTCCTCTATGACATTAAATTGAATATATTTGGGTTGTGGACAAAACAAGACATTTCAGAACGTCCTCTTGGGCTTTGGGAAGCACTGACTGACATTTTCCACCACTTTCTGACATTTAATAGACCAAGCTACTAATCAATTAACTGAGAAAATAATAAACAGATTAGTCGACTATGAAAATAAATGTTAGTTGTAGCCCTAATAGACAAAGATATAGTCTACTACTCCCAATCCAGCACTCTGATGAAAGATGAAATAAAAAGAGGGCCAACGCTCAGGTTATTCATTAGCTTTTGTGCATACACATAAAATTGCAGAATTCCTCCCACCTTATGAAAATCGTCATTAGAGCTACTTATGTTCAGTCTTAGCTTTGCACTTTGATTTATTTGTTGTCATTTGTTTCAAGGTACTTTTTAAAAATTTTTTATTCAGTGTTAAATTTCTCTTCTTATGTCTTATAACTTAAACCTCACAGTTAACCAAGAATGACTTGAGCTCAGCTGTGAGTCCTTTCAGAAATGGCACTCTCTCTGGTTGAGCAGCTTCCTCTCGGCCTCATAACAACTCCCCTCTCTTTATCAACTCGAGGCATTGAAAGGTCAAAGAAAACCAGCTCCCATCGAATTTTTAGTGACCCGTTCACCCCAGTGAGCAGTAAACTGGCTATCAGCAAGAACATAATGGAGCTGAGAAATTGGCAGAGCAACAACGACCAATACTGAAAAAGCAATTCAAGAGCAGCCACTGCTCAATTTAATCGAACATGGATAGTAGTGATGACAAACAAAAGTCATGTACAAGACTTGTCTGTATGAGCATCAATGAAGAAAAAGGTGAAAATAACCTTGCTGTCATGTTGTTGCTCATCTGATTGACCATGAATGCACATATTTTTCACGTAATGAAATGTCTTATTTATTGTGTTTTTTATTAATTCTGTCCTTTAGTGGTTGAATGAAAATGAACAAAAGTATCTCACATCAAGGTGTTGTTCGACATGAAGGAAAAGATCATTCTTTCAAGCCTAAATGCACTTTTTTAATAGCTACACATAAATATAGAAGAAGCTTTTAGATGACTTGTGTTTCCATATTTAATTATCTAACTAAGACCATGAGTTCAGATTGCACTGGAACCGTCTAAACAGTGTAGAGACAGACCTGGTAATTCGAGACTACCGTAGATGTTGGTCTTGCCACTCTTATTAGATGAGTCATTACTATATCATATAAACTAGTTATTGCTGTACTGTTTCTCTAATATTATATTGATGGATCTATTATCACGACACCTTTATGAAGCCCAATCCAATCTGACCTTAAACAGGACTTTGGATTGCAATTTCCATCAAGGCTTACTGCCCACTAAATCAAAATGTGATTCAATTAAGGCGCTGTTAGGTTGATGAGTGCAATTAATCAAACATAGCCTAATAATTCATTTTGGTGGGCACCTTTAGACGCTGCTCTGTGTCAGCCAACAAATCTCTTCTATTATGTTGAAGTAAAGCAGAAGCATGTCATGTGGATAAAGGTCTTTATTAAGGTAGATGATGAGTACAGAGACACGTGTAATGAGCCAGGACTCTTATTACATTCTGATCTTCTCACCGGTTTATGACAGAAGAAAGTGCAGAGAGAATAAACTTTGTCTTTGACTCTGTCTTCGAACGCTGCATAGCGTTCAAAGACAGCATGTGGGAATTAAACTTCCAGCCAACTCTTATCACAGGTCAAGAAAATTCCACCTTGGCACTAACATCAGCTCACAATCAAGCCTCAAAGATGGCATCAATGAGAGTTAAGTATCTCCTAGATAGGTTGTAGATGTCTACTCGGAAAAACAACACTCAATTAAATAGACAGATCAAAATGAAAACCACCCAGGCTCATACACCATCTGTGCTGCATTCAAGTTCTCCTCACTTTGGAAACACAATTGATTATCAGTGTCTGTTTCCCTAAACTAGAGTAGCAGAGACAATCAAAATGATTAACTTTAATACTCAACAGAGCCAACCTGGAAATACCCCATGCCATAAATCTCTTCTAGCTTTATGGTGCACAGCGCAAGTCCATAAATGTAAGATTATGGTCGTCTTACCAGCTGGGTCCTCGGCACTATTTATCCTTTCTAGTTGGGGGAGTGTGATGGATTTCTCTGAATCTGTCTTGTAGTCTGCAGGAGGAGGTAGAACAGTGTACATCCGCCTGCCCGGACTGGCTGCACTCTGCGTCTTTCCTGCATCTCCTGAGACAGTTATGGCAAATAAAAAGTAGGTAATAAACTCCAATGGTAAGAGCAGCAGGGTGGCAGCAATTCTGCGTGCATGATGTGTTGGTATGTTAATGTGTGTATTTTGAAAAAAAGGAAAGGACCAAATAAGGGAAAATCAGAAAGGAAATAATGTTTTCCAAATGATTGTACATAGTAATATTGTAAGCAGCAAGTATCACTGGTAAACTGAATGTAATCTTACCAGTAGCAGTGTCCACTTTAGAGGCTTGTCTTTTCACACAGATTTTGTTGGCTAGGGCCTCGACCATGCCTGGTTGGCTGGACTCCTTCTCCAATTTGGGAGCTGCAGGGTAAAGCCTCTGGAGTACTTTTGATTGAAATGCTAAGTAACACAAGACATAGGACAAGAAACACATAGGTACACACATGTTAATCAGACGCATTAGAGATATCTGACTTCTTCATAGGGAAAATGTAAATCTTAAACTTCCTGCTAAAATCTGCCAGTTAATGCAATTCAAAAAGTGTGGAATTACCAACCCAATATGTGCGACAGTGTTATTAGAACAAAGGAATGAAGTCAAAGAAGCAGCCAGCTTGAAAGGAGATGCTGGGTTATGAATCATCATGTGTGCATTGTATTATTATTAACAGCAGTGCACTTTTACCCCAACGACTGGCCAAATGCCGTTTGAGTAATTGAGACTTTTTTGAAAAGTGCTCTACAAATAAAGATTATTATTATTATATATATACACACACACATATATATACAGACATACACACTTAACTTTACAATGCATCATCAGGTCATGGTAACATGACCAGACATCTTACAATTACTTTGTATTGGACATCGGTATCGCAGCATGGTGTGGAGAGTAGTGTCGTTTGACAGAGGAACACGTGCATTTGTTTACAACATAGCTGGAAACCTCCTTAACGCGAGACTTAGCACGGTAGCTAGCTAACGTAGCTAGCTAGTTGCAACTGTTTGGAGTTTGTATATGATATTAATAATGCTGTCGACGACACCGGTGATGCTCACCTTCTTTCCTGCGTGCCATTTCGACATATGTAGTTATCTGAGCGGAACTAAAGAGGACGGAAAGTTAAATGTAACATTTGGCTAACGTTATAGCTATTATGCTAACACGCTAACCCGCCTGCTAGCTTTTTAAATGAGCTCGCTTCTTAACAGAGGTTACAACATCACAAATCGGTGAAATAACTTGTTGGTGTTAAAGTTATTTAAAGGAATGGCTATAGCTATTTAAACTCAGCTATAATAAAACTCAGCTACCCCTGTCAAAGCGAAGTAATGCTCGCCGTCGTCCAGCTGCTGCACTCACCACCAGGCAGCAGCTCACACACCGACAGGACTGATTGAATGCACAGGAAGAAGTCACTTGGTCCAGTCGCGCCGAGTTCCATTCCAACTAATGGCGATTTAATCTAGCCTTACTTGTCAAAAAAGACTTGTACCCTGCCCATCATACATTTATATATTGTTTTGATCAGTCAAATCCATTCTTGAAATCGGCATGTAAAGCAGCCTGTTTAATATATCGAATATCATAGCATCGTTTGGTACTGCTCGACCACTTTGTATTTGGCGACAAAGACAGTAAGAAGTTTACATTTTACTGAGGCAAATTGTTTCTGTGATATTAAATGTAGTACGAATTAAAATGTGACGCCTAATACTTCGATAATTATCTTTAATCAATTTCGGGTGCGTGCCTTCCTGCCTAAATAGTCAAGCCCAATTTATTTTTGCGGTTAGTTAGGATGACAACTTTCTTTCATGAAGTGTGAAGAGCGCCATGCATCACACTACAGCTCCCCGTGTGTTTGAAGCTAGTAATAACAGCGGTTTTGGGCGTGCGCACACTGAACCAGCTGTAGGACTGAGTGGAAGCGAGATGAGAATACTAAGCAGGCACCTCATGGCTCAGCATCAGCACCGGGCTGAGTTAGGATTTGCGCACCCTCCAAACTTGGCTTGGGACCTCAGCATGTGAACAGGCTTTGCAGACAGAGGATCCACCTAGAATGTCAGCTCTGAAGAAGGTAAATCTCTCTCTCTCTCTCTTATTAATCTTTGAGCACATCTTTAACTCCTAAAATATAACGTGCAGGATTCAAACATCTTACAGTAAATGAGATAATGTATGCAGTAGTGAGAAAATGGCGTGTGTTTAAGCAGTGTGTTTGCAGGATTTTCTTAGTTGTTTAAGGTAATCAGACTTTTGGACTGTTGGCTTTTTCAAAATGATATTTAAAAAAACCCTTCCATTCAAATTTGTTGATGTATGAGCAGTCATCACAATATACAAAATATAATATGATTTTTGCATCACTTTTGCATTAATTTTGTTCACCTCTCCTCTGCTTTGCCATATGGATGTTGCTCTTGCACTTACATTTATCCCTGAGGAGGATGCTTGGATGTGGACCATGCAGAAAAAAGCCCTTTTAGTACACGGTTAACTTCTCAAATGGATGTTATTCTAGGTTTGATCCCCCCAGACTCCTCCTGTTGTGCACTGTCACGTAATACTGTATGTACCATGCCGACTGTAGTCTCTGTGGGTGGATGAGCTTCACTGTCTGACAGAGCCCAAGCTCAGTGCTGGCAATCCTGAATGAGAGTGGAGCTCCATACAGCTTAACAAAAGAAGGCACTGTAAGAGTTGTGTTTTTTTTAAGAATCAAGGAACTACACAGACCCGTGAAACATGTTACATAATACCTTGCAGTAGACAAGGCATTGAACAGCATAAGCACACTTCCCACAAGCCTTCTGATTAATCAAGTAGTGAGAATTGTACTCCTGTGAATGGGTGATTATTACTGGTGTAGGAATCCTCTTTTGTTTTTGATGTTGCAAGATTAGAAATAGTTAACCGCCTGTTTGTGTAAAAAGCTTGTCATCGTTGCCAGTTGTACACTGACACGTTGTGTCGTTTAAGATTCAGTGCAGTTGCAAGTATTGATGTCTCAGCGCCAATATATTTCCATGACTGAGTGACAAAAAAGAAGTGAAGTTGTAGAGAATGCCTGCTTCAGCACCGCTGCCGAATCGACAGCAAATCTACAGTACTCAGCACACACTGTGAGTGACAAAGTGTTGGCTGCCAGCACTCACATAGTCAGACATCATAATCACAGAGGTGCTAAAAATAGGGGATCATATTCATTGCAATGCTTTAGAAGTTCCGTGGTTGTTACTGCTGTTCACTCTCTAGTTAGACGCTTTTCCAACATCCTCCTCGATGCTGTGCCTTCCTCATTAATACAAAAAGTCTTTATTTTTAGACAGTAGTGGTCAGCCAGCCTTTCTACAATGACACACAGCTGCTTCTGTAAAACTTTGATGTGAAAGTGATGATCTTTTTCATTCTCTAGTCTCTGAAACTAAGGGTTTAGTTCATACATGGAAGCTGCACTTTCTGCCATAGTAACAAGCTTGTTTTATTTCGGGTCATGGATAAGTGTCCCATGTTCATTCATTATGCAGGTGGCATCAAGTGCTATAGAGCAGTGGTCGTGCCGCTAAGCAGTCAGGAGCAAATGCATTTTTCAATAATAAGGAGGGTAATTGACAGCATCTTTGTATGTGTGAACAGTGCATTGCCTGGATGTGGCTGTGCAATATGTATGCATATGTAGCTTGTCTATACTGAAAGCAGAGGGAACCTGGGGGGGTGGGGGTGTCAAGTGAGAAATACATGTTACCTCTGTAAGTCCTTATGTGACTGAAAAATAAACTTGTCATCTTCCCAGCTTTGGGAGGGGGGGCCTTTCTCCTCATCCACATCACCCCTTCTGATTTAAACCAGGAGACTAATCAGTCTTTCAGTGAAAGCCTGATGATTCATATGAGATGGAGAAATCTTTACTCATCCTACCAGGCAGGCAATTTCTTTACATAAAAAGATGAGAGCCCAATTTAAGCTACCACTTGCGTACAAAGAATAAAGGACAAAAAAAACTAATTGGAAACTGACTCTATTTCCACTCAGAAGCACTTTGGAATTGAAGGTAGCTTGTCTCAGGATATTTCCAATGCTGCTGTCAAATTGCTTGCGTGCCCAGTGGGCACACACATACAGTACATGCCGACACGAACAGACTCTCACAGACTTGTCAATGGGAAGCTTGTGTGGACTTTGCCTACTTGGCAGTGACACGATAACGCACTCTTAATCTGTTTGAAGATGCACAGAAAACATGAAGCGCTACATTCACGCATGTGGTGATGTCATTTTGGTCTACAGGGGAAGAGGAGCAGTGGTGAATGGAGAGTAGCCTGACTAAAAGTAAATGTTGAAACATTCAGCAGGCTCTTTTTTTATTCACCCACTCATCGTGACAGAAGTGTTTCTGCTTTTTCCCTCCATGTCCCATTCTTCTTATCCTTCTTCTCTCTCACTTTAATAATTTCTATTACCTTACCTAGTCATGCACATGCATCTCACTCACTTTCTTTCTCTCTCTCTCCCTCTGTCTCTGTATTTCCTCCCTTTTATGTGTCCTTTCCCTAACTACACCTGTAACAGTCTGGCTTCAGTAGAGGGATGCAGGGGGAATGGAAGGGATGGATGGGACTGCATTTGATGAATCTAATAATGCATGAGAACCAAGTGTGTGTACATTATATGCAGCATGTGAGTCTTTGTGTGTGTATGTAGGTATGGCGCATACCTATGCACCAATACTACTGGGTTAATAACCTTTGTCCTGTGGTGGTGGGCACACATCTTCTAGGCATGTAGGCTGTCATTGCATTCTCCCGGTGATACTGTTACCGCAATAGCTGCCAGATTGCCCTTAGTCAGATGTGACTCATTACAAACCCATTAGCAAGCTGGTATACTATCTGTAACCTAATATAGTTGCACAGACAGTTTGATCCAGTTTGTAATACCATCATTTATGATGATTTTACCAGGCTGCCTATGTCAGGCAGACTAGTACATTTTACTTTCCTTTCCTTTGAAAGTCAGCACAGCAGAGAGACGCGCATGTCTTTTGGTGGCTGTGTGCATTTGAAACTCGGTGACTGGGGACAAACGTGAATCATCTCATGGGGTAAAAGCAATAGGCTAAGACATTTGTCCCTTAAGGCCCGCTGTGTTAACACTTTGTCAAAATGTGAAATGTGAAACTAATGCAAGTGCAAGACCCCGTACAACTCCAAGTGTAGTTATGGTCTCCCATGTAGAGTATGAGTCCTAACAGTATTGCCGTTGGCGAAAGGCCCAGCTCTTTCACAACAGAGTCTTTACCAGACCCTTTAAACCGAGCAATGAACTTGAATACATCGGCTTAATAAAATAGTCCACTCTACTAAAGGCAGAAGAATTTTTCTTAGAGATTTGATTAAGCTCCAGAGAATTTCTTTATGCTTTAATCGTCCTAATGTGGTCAAGCTGTTTAACATAAATGCTGTATACTGCTGCTGTCACGATTATGGTGCACGTAGTTGGGTTTAACATTTGGAGAGCTAACTGTGGCTCATTTTCATTATCCCTGTCCAACTTTAGGGATATGCTGAGTGAATGGCACTCTTATAGGCCATTCTTATAGATGATTTCTTAATGCTCCACCCTTGGATTTTAGGTAAAACTGTGACCTCTATACAACCCTGCAAACACATTGCAGATGCACTGTTTTCCTCCATGCATGAGCACCTGGAGCAGATCTCAGCTCCACCTTTTACCTTTCATGTGCATGCCTACCCATGTTCTAAATAGGTGAAATAAAGGTTGTACATTTGTTTGCTGCCTGCCTGTGTCCTACAAGAGCAGTAATCTAACAGAAAAACTATGAGTTAGGAGCCACATGGTGCGTGTTTTAGAGAGATACATTTGGACACAAAGTTTTGTGAAACTTACTCTTGTAATTTGTTACTGACACAGTGTTAGAGAGGTGTTAGTTGAACGCAAAGTTCATTTTTTGAGGCCCTAGTTTGTGGTATTGTACTATTGGAGCATTATGGTGAAAGGCTCCTAATATTTTGTCTAATTCTGCGGATCTCTTTTAGTTATTGCTGGGGTGAGTGGTCACAGTGTAAAACTTATCTTCTGCTCAATCTGCACACCACTCATTTGATAAATTTGCCTGGCTAAGAAGGGATCAGACAGCGCTTAAGGCAGACAGGAGGAGCTTTGAATTGCATTGGAGTTACTCCACTTCGCCTCCATCCTGTCAGATTTCCATTAGCTCACCAAGAGTTGCACTCTACCCCACAGCAGCAGGCGCCAAGAAATCCTATTATACACTGCTACTTGTGATAATTGCTTATACCTAGCAGTAATAGTGTGTGGTGTTGGGTGGTGTGTCTGTATGCTTGCGTGGTGGTTGTGTATGTTCATGTGCCCTGTATGTAGACAGCAGTTTGCTTTGTGAGCGTCCTGAATCGCCACTGGGACAAGAGAGGTTCCTGTTGACCGCTCTCTGCCGTGGACAAACTAGGCTGTGTTGCCCTGAGCCTCATATCATGCAGAGCCATTAAATGAACCTGGTGCACTGAAGCCTGACTTGTTTGGTGGCATGTACACCAAAGTCTAGTATAACTAGACTGACAGGTTTCACACATACTCACACCTTCACATACTGTACATACACTGTGGTCACTACTCTGAGAAAAATCTTAAGTTCAGCAACAAGAAAAGACTACTTTACTTGAACTTTTTGATGCCGTAACTTTCAGGAGCACCAGTTTGTGCAGCAAGTTAAATCAGAGAGGCTATTTCTGATCCTCACTCTCCAGTCTCACGAGGCGGGCTCCATCAAACTGTAGATAAAACAATCTCCCAGACAAATGGACTTTCAGGGATAGAGTAATCAGCACTTTTGTATTTAGGGACATTTTCAGAGAGCTGATATGAGAGAGAAAAGTTTTTTCATGGACTCAAATGGCGTGTGACTCACCTGAGTCAGCCCATTTGATTGTTCATCTCCCGTTAATGAGCATTCATTCGGTTGTTTCTCTCTTCTTCTGCTCCTGCCTCAACAGTCTTTGTGGTTGTCTCTCTTTACTGCTCTTGTACGGTAAGTATACCTCTGTTAAAAGAGGCAAGTAGCCCAATGCTTTGTGCAAGACATGTGACTGTATATAAACCAACAATCAAACAGCTGTAAACAAACAAAAGCTAGCCTAGAAGCTCATCTTGGTTTTATGTGATGAATCATTCTAGTGACTGAAGTTTATGCTATAGTGGATATGTGATGCCACACTGTAGTGCAGAATGATTTACTATATATTGAATGGACTTTGATGACTTCATATTACATTACATTGAGCTGATGCTTTTATCCAAAGCAACTTATAATTGCTATATATGTCGCACGCCTCTGGAGCAACTAGGGGTTAAGTGTCTTACTCTGGGACACATTGATGGATGTGTCACAGTGGAGAATTGAACCCGGGTCTCTCACGCCAGGGGTTCTAAAAATGGGGTCCCCAGCGAAAAGGGGAATACTCAATTTTATCCATAAGTAGCAGAGAATGTCTGATTATTTTGGTCATGGGTTTCATACACAATATGTTATAAAACATCTAAAAGCAAAAATCCTCTTAGATGGGGGACCCTAGGACAAAGTCTTATCAAATGGGGGTCCATGGTCTAATTTGTGTTAGTTTAGGGGTCCCTGATTAGAAAAAGTTTGAGAATCACTGTCTCACACCAAAGGCATGTGTCTTATCCACTGTGCCATCACCACCACATGTAAATGTGGGAATGTTATGTGATCTTTATTCTCATAACATTCTGGAACAAACATACTTGAAATACAGAAAATGAAATGTTAATAATTCCTTCATTAGCATTTGCTTCTTTTTGTAGCCTGCTTAATGACCAAAATAGTATACTTAACTGTACTATTACCTCGTTCATTTCCAACCCATAAGCCACGAAAAATGTACAGTAGATGTAACAGGGTGGGAAGATGGATAGTTACTGCACTGAATCCCTTTGCTTACCGCCTCAGGCTACAAGAGAATGACTACCAGTCCAATTGGAAGAGCATGATTGTAAACTCCAACAACATTGCCAAATGGAGCCTTTTATTAACTGACTGACTCAATGGGGTTTGAAGGCTCATTCACAAGATTGGGCCTGTAGTCCTAAGGGCACTGCTTTGTCTTCGAGGATCTATTTTTTCCTCTGACTGATTTCTTTTCACTGGGCCAAAAACTGCAAAACCGTTCAATTAAATATTGACTAAATGGGAGATTATAATTCATTAGGTTTTGATATAATCAAGGTTATTTATTTCATGGATGGCTAGTCTTTGTATATTATCAGGCTAGCTGTACATTGTCATTTGAATGAAACCCGCTAATCAAATCTATGAGTAATGTAAGAAAACAAATTTGTTCAAATACCCAAAATATCATTTGTTGTATTTCCACTTGTCCCAGTTATGTGTCCATGTGTCTTGCTTAACTGTCTTGTTACAACATGGTGACATAAATCCTCTCTTGTGCTCATCCCAAGATAAGCTTAAAAAGACAAAGAAACGGATTCCTAATGCATTTTCCCATATGAAATCAGACGCCTTACCTCCAGACTCCAATCCCTTTAAAGCGTAAATAAGAGGCAAGTGACAGCTCTGTGTATCTGAAACACTGAAGAGTGTCCCTGACAGTTCGTTTTCCACACTCCTCCAGTACAAACCTCTGCCAGCCATCCAGCCAGCCAGCCAGCATCAATTATAACTGTACATCATGCAGCTGGTTGAGTCATTACAAGTCAATCATTGTATTTCTCATTTCTGCAGAGAAATCTATTTTTATCTACCGCACAACTTTCTTCATCACTTCTTTACTGAATAGTATGTTGCTGCATATCATAGAGAGCATCTTATATCATAGAGTGATATGCGTAGCAAAAGGATCCAAGAGCAGACACAGGATTAGGATGAACAGAGGATTTATTGAAAGAACGATGGTAGTAGATTCTGGTGCGTGGTTGCAGAGAGCGGGCAGGCAGGCAGATCCACAACTTCAAAAACAGGCGGGCGAGCAGGGCTTTCTAAAGCAGCGACCCCCTAGGACAAAAAACACACATTAGACGAAGGTATTATGAGCAGAGGAAAAACACTAAACAGAGTGTTGGCCTGACTAGTAGTTTACCACTCAGGTGAACAGATGATCTGGCGAATACTGAAGAGAGGAGCCGGGTATAAATCAGCGGTGGTGACGAGTAGATGAACTCCAGGTGTGTGGAAACTCCAGGAACTCTCGCTGGCCCGACAGTGTGTTGCCACAACCATAACCAGAGACAGACAGCAGACAAACAGACACTCAGGGAAGGGAGAAAAAACAACAGGACACACTAGGAACTGGGAAGGATGGGTTGCCAGATCACCACACAGAGAGTACTTTGATGAAAAACAGACAAAATGATGAGACAAAAAGATGTGCAGCAAATTTTTCTCATAAGAAGTCACTACAGTAACAAATGCAATTTCTTTCTTTTGTCATGATCAGTTTCCTTAAATTCAGCATATAGTTCTCCCTTATATTGGAGTACAAGAGCACATGGCAGCAACCTAATGCATTTAGGCATGTAGACGTGGTCAAGACAACTTGCTGAAGTTCAAACCGAGCATCAGAATGGGGAAGAAAGGGGATTTAAGTGACTTCTAACGTAGCATGGTTGTTGGTGCCAGACGGGCTGGTCTGAATATTTCAGAAACTGCTGATCTACTTGGATATTCACACACAGCCATCTTTTAGGGTTTTCAGAGAATGGTCCAAAAAAGAGAAAATATCCACTGAGCAGTTGTGTGGACGAAAATGCCTGAATGTTGTGGCTGACTATGTCCATCCCTTTATGACCACAGTGTACCCATATTTTGATGGCTACTCCAGCAGGATAATGCACCATGTCACAAAGCTCATATCATCTGAAACAAACTTCTTGAACATGACGAGTTCACTGAACTCCAATGGCCTCCACAGTCACCAGATCTCAAGCCAATAGAGCACCTTTGGGATGTGGTTTGACAGGAGATTCGCATCATGGATGTGATGTGACAAATCTGCAGCAACTGCGTGATGCTATTATACCAATATGGACCAAAGTCTCTGAGGAAAGTTTCCAACACCTTGTGGAAAATATGCCATGAAGAATTAAGGCAGTTCTGAAGGCAAAAGGGGGTCCAACCTAGTACTAGCAAAGTGTAAACAATTTTTTATCAGTTTGATGTTGACAGAAAAGAGCATGTATACATGTAGCCTACTTATAAGACAAGACCATGACAAGACCAGTCAACAATGTCCTGTGGAAACCATTTATCTCTAAAACAAAGAAAAGGTCACAGAAAAAGTAAGATACAGATTAAGGACAAAAATATGAAAAGATTTGCACGAGGCCCAGTTACTCTAAGCAGTCAAACAAATCTACTACGGAATCACACCAGAACAAGTTTAAATGGAAGGTGACCAATAGTTGACCAAATACTAACAACAAATGCACATTCTGAAGTGTTTGTATAATGGTAGAATTACCTCTTAATATGCTGCTGGTAAAGTAGAAAATGAGACTGGATGACATGAGTCTGTGCTTGAGGCCCTCCTCCTGTATGAATGATGCAGTGGGTTGATATCTCATTGAATGTCCCTTAGAGACAAGCCATTAGGGTTCATTTCTTTTCTTTTTTTATTCCTCTCTCTTTTCAAAAGGTACATTTTTATATGTGCTCCTCTCTTTAATTAAAAGAGACACTTATCTGATCGGTCCAATCCCAGAGAGTGGTAAAATAACTGTGAGAGACCGAGGAGCCTGAGATAACAGGTGCAAATGTAAAGGAATGTTAACAATATCAGGAGGGAAAATGGAGTGGAAAGAAAGAAGAGGAGGTCTGTCTATATTACAAAAGTCATTTTGGACAACAATGAGCCTGTCAGTCAGACACAAGAACAAAGAGGCATTGATAACACCTGGTGAGCCACCTCCGCATCGCTTTCTCATTTATTTTGGTTCGCTGGACTTCTTTCTAATAGAAATTCAGCATGTTTTTGTGTTGTGAACACCAATAATGGCATTCAGCGTCACAGGAACGCTTAACAAAACTGTTATTATGCTAAAATCACCTGTCTTCTGTTCACTTACACAAGACAGGTGACGATAAAACTTTTGATCGATTAAATTTTCAGAGAATTCCTCACAGACTAGATTATAAGCATGCATTATTGATTAGTATGACCGCCTCGGGGCTTGTGAGCAGTGCAATAATTGGCTGTTGTATTTGCTGCTACAACTTCCTGGCATAGCAAAGCTGCTGAGGGAGCAGAGAAAGCTTGTACAATTGGCCCGCTGATGTGACCACACCAGATTGACTGATAACATTGCCCTCGCACCCATATCAGTCGAGTAATATTTTATCTCCATGCTGCTCCAATGGATTGTTAGCACATCATCGTTTCCCTCACACACCATTTAGGCCCCCTTTGACTGTTTGTAGATTTAATCAGAGACACGCAGTTGAAAATGAACCTTCCACATACACACTTATCCACACCGAGACCATCATTTAGTGCTCCACTGCTCAGATCACAGGGCGGAAGAAAAGGGCTTAGATAAATATGGGAGCAGCTCCTTTTGATGCAAATGGTGTGAGAAATGGGTGCCTGTTGCTACTCTGTAATTGTGGGTCACAGCATGGCTCAGTGCTTTTCCTCTGAGCTCCACCTTGTGTATCTGCTTTGAGGCTGCTGTGATATTAACATCTCTCCCTCTCTCCCCCAACCCCTTCCTTTGTTGTTTCTTGGAAGGTGTTGCCAGGCATACTGCAGAAGCATTGCTGCATCTTACCAGACAGGAACACAGGTAAGGACCAAACAGATGTGCCCTCTCCACTAAAAACTCCAGTCACACACAGCGCTGTGACATAGGAGAGAGCCAGTCAGTGGGAGTAACGATGGGTAGTGATGCTGGGGAATGGATGCTTAGTGGGTGGGTCACATTTGTGCGTCTTCCTGTTTTTGTGTGTGCTCTGAACATCTGTAAGCTCACACCTCATCTGCTGGCTACACGCACACTTCGTGACTGGTGATTTTCCCATAGTTTTGTTATTTAGTGATTTTCCCCTGTCGTCACTATGTGGCCCCAAACTGATGCCTTTATTGTTGCGATTCTTACTATACAGTTGTTCTTTTGTTGCTGCTACACAATGTTACCGCCAGATAAAATTAACACATTTCAAAAGCATCTAAAGTCATATGGGGTTCTCTGTGTGGTCTTATTTTCTCCACTTACATGTCAGAGGGAGGGAAAGATTTGGGGGCAGTTGTTGCGAACTTGTGATCATGACAGGCTTCTTAACATCATTGCAGGTGTGAAGAGGTTGCTGATGAAATTGAAGAGCAGGGAGATATACTCAGGTACCTGGCCGCAGTCCTCACATTAATGACTTCTACTTTTCTGTGCGTTCACTTTTGGCGCCTCAGCCTCTCTAACTTCTCGACTGCAATGAGACTGCATGCATATGGGCTGCCACACCATCCATCCCACTAACAAAACCTCACTAATGCTGCTCCGCCATTTGTCATCTGCCTTCTGCAGTGCCCTCTGTTTTGCGCTTTGTTCTGCAAACCGTGCAAGACTGGTGTCTACCTTTAAAATGCTATGTTTTTCAGGCTCGTGGCTAGAAAGCTAATAGCAAGGGCGCAGCAACCTTGGCTATGAAGAGACATTTGGAAACTTGTTACGAGGTGTTGGAGTTATAACTGGTTAACTGTGAGGCATTTCTCAGCATGAAATTAATTTTTAATAGGGCATATGGGCAAGCTTATGTGCACTTAAGCAGATAACAAACTTGACAAACCTGTAAATCAGTAGTTTTACTGTTATTTTAAGCATAAAAGTTCTATAAGCCAGACCTGGACCAAATTTTAATCCACTCTATTTATCTCTCTATTTAAAAGGTGCCAGATGGGTGGGGCTTGCTGTTATGAAACAATCCTCTTTTGCCTCACAAGTCAAATCAATTACAGAAAATTGTCTGAAGACATTTACAAATGTTAGCTTAAGTTTTTGTGGAATATTTTACAAAACTTTTCACAAGATTTCCCCCCACTGGATAAGTTGCTGTGTGTTTAGTTGAGATGGTTGTCAAATACTGCATGAATATGGAGGACCCATGGGTGCACCTCTCGACTGGTCTTAGAACAAGGTGTTCTGACAGAGTGGACACTTATTAAAGTAACCTTATAATAACCTTACGAATATGGATGTGCAAAGCTCTGAAACTTTTCCACGGATATTTTAGCAGACACTGGTCTGGAATAGAGCTAGATGTAGTCTTATTTCATGATGTGTGTGTGTGTGTGTGTGTGTGTGTGTGTATAGTGTATGCGTGTGAATGTTGAACAAACAAAATCAGTTTGACTGCATTTGCTTTCAAATTCCATGTAATTTTTCAAAAACCTTCCTCCTCTCTGAAAATATCTTTATTCTAATAGCTTGCACTGTCAAGAAGACACAGTGCATGACACTTCTTTTCAACACTCAGCAGTGGTGCATCAAAAAAATTCTGATTTTGTCAAACTACTTCCACCGAAGTTCATAGATCCTCATTCATCCATCTCAAATTCAAGTTGGAGCTTTTGCTGAGCAATTTCAGCATTGCACAGTGTCACAGTTGCTAACAACCTCAATGCCCCCAGTAGCTTCTGTATTTATAATGTGTGCCATGGCAACACAGTTTGTGGTGTCAATAGATGCAAAGACTGTGTTGTGTCCATTTTTAATAAGCATCTCTTCTATGTACTGACTGGATGATGTAGCACTGTTGTATTTGCATATGCTAAACAGATGACATGAGTTAACACCAGCACTGGAAGAGGATTCTCATTAGTGAGTTCAGTAGAATTGTGTCAGACCTGGGTCTGCCTAAAGACAGACATGAGTTGAAAATTGTAGTGTAAGGCTTGAGGAAAGAGAGGGTAGAGTAAGATGAGTGGAATATCTTGAAAATGATGAAGAGCAAGTAAGATTAGGGAAGACTTTGAAAGCAATGGCCATGAAAAGATTGGTATCTTCTGCTGGTGAATGTGATAAAGAAGCTACATTGTGTGTGTGTGTGTGTGTGTGTGTGTGTGTGTGCATGGGCTCTGCTCTACTGCATTGAGTGAGGAGTGCCCTCTCCTGGTCGGTTTCCCAGCTCTCACAGTTCCATCTCCTCCTCAGAAACACTTGCCTCATCCGCTCCCCACTCCCCGCTTCTGTTTCTGAGATTCAAAATCTTGTGCATAGAAACTGGAGGGATGAGGCTTATCATAATCTTACACTCTCTCTGTTATCAGTGTGTCCCTCTGCTCCTAATGTACTCCGCAAGCGGAACCCTTTGTGCTGATGAGCACTCATCATTTCTATGCCACAAATTCACTGACTATTTCTATTTATAGACACTAATTAATGTGTGAATATTTCACAATTCTGTTGCCATTTTTCATGTCAATGCTGAATTTCTGGCATCATATTATGATCTTTTCCTGTCCCCCACTCATAGCCACTCTCTCTATCATTTTGGGAAAATGTAACTAGTAATTTTTTAACCTTAAGATTTGTATATCATGTAATGATACTGACTTCATGTTCACATCCAATGAATGAGCAGCAGGGTAGTTTTGTCACAGAGACCAAGAGATTTAAAGATCAGAGTGACAGTGTCTCACATTGCTTATGCTACAATTATACCATAAATGCAAAGGTGCTATAAAGAGACATGCTGACTGCTGCATTCTGGGAAACCCTTCTATCATCCTTTGCAGTATTTGGACACTTCTGTTTTGTATTCATGGCCTTAAATCCTCATCGATTTTGTCTCTCCCGAGTCTTACAACCCACCTCTACACACACACACACACATAAACATACACAAACATTTCCCATTGCCTCCATTTACAATTCCCATGTGTTGTACTCGTGGTATCTCCAATTGTTGCAAAGAGTTAAATTCAGGCATGACAAAATCACAACAATTCTTGTCCTAGTTAAAGTTGTTTTTAAATGGAAAATGACCAGGAACAGCATTGACGTCAATGCTGCTGGTAAAAAAAAAAAAAAGTTAATAAACAGATTTCAGTGATGGCCAAAACAAGTGGCAAAATGGCAACTATCCAATCAATACTGTATAATGACAGTTCAGGAGCGAGATATATTTTTAAAAAGAGGATAAAGTATCATCAGCCTGATTCAGGATTTTGTCAATAGGAAAAACTTAAGACTATAAAAGACTTGATAGGACTGCAGAATGTTCAGATGTTCAAACACTGCACATCTCAGCACACAAGTGTTAGCATCACGTCATAGTGACATTTGGATATCATTAAGCTCAATATCAAATAATGTATTTGATAAATATATTTCATAAATATCAACAAACATATAATGAACAAATTGTCTTACTGTCCCAAACTGTCAAAAGTTTTCCATCATGAAAATGTAGCTTGTTAGCTCAAATGCTAGTACGGTAGTTGTTGGGTTACACTCACAAAAAAATGTGTCTTTAATTAGCTAATGTACCACTCCTGCTGTGAATTTTGTGTCAACATAATGTGGAAAGGTTTGTCTGAGGACATGAGCGTTTAGGGCAAGATGCCCTTTGTCAGTGTGTATTCTGGCAAATTCACATGGGTGGGTTAATTATAGGTGACCTCAACCAGCACAAGTACACCCCAACAGGGGAAGCCACATGCTCCAGCATTGAGACCGTTAAGATGCCACAGAGAGGTTGTAATAGGGATAGCATCCTTTTCCAAAGGGAGATGTATTTGATATTCTTCCTTGATACCCTCATTTCAATGGGATGAATGAGAAGATTTAATTTGTGTAGGGCTGCGGTGATTCCTCGACGCTGCATCCGGTGTGGGATTATCCCGGACAAGCTCCAGCTACAAGACCGCGCCTTTGACCGTCTCAAGTTTGGCACGTACTTCTCGGTGAGCTCTGAACTGGAAACAGCTTCACTGCAGCACAACTGCTGTCCACGAATACGTGAAGCAGCACGAACACGTGAAACTAAAGTATCCCGGAGCACTTTGTCTAGACGGCAGCACCGTAAATCGTGATTACTTTCTGTTGCCACACAAGCACGGTACATTATCAGCACGAGGACACGTATTTCTTCATTGCCTTCATGTTAAAAGTAATTTCTGCCCCGCTGCTGTCATGGTAACGGCTGTTTCATATTTTCTGTTTATTTAACGGCTACGAATCAGCGAGAAAACAGCTGATTAATTACAGACAATCTGTGACTGTCTGGACAGTCTTGAGTCCTTTCAGGTGTTCACTGATGCAGAAATACATTTGATTATCATACTGCATTACTTAATATTTAAATAATTCCATGTCAGAAACATTTAAAGTTTTAAGTAAAGTAGCCTAATTAATGTCTGTTGTTATTATTATTATTATCACAACACATCAGTGACGTGGAAATTTGATTCATTTTAAGATTTGCTGCTATTGTCATTATTTTAATGTGCTTCATCAGGATGATTGAATAAAATATGTTTTTGATATTTATTTTGGATAAATTGGTTTGTTAATTGAGTAATAGGCAACTTTTCTTTCTTTAGAATAAACAAAATTAGTCGTCAGATTAATCGACTAATCGAAAAAATCATAGACTTGAAAGATAATCGATATGTACAGCCCTAAATTTGTGTGTTTCTTATGAAGTAATTTTTCATGTTTAACTGTAGCCTACTATCATGAGACTCTGTCTGGAAAGGTTGTGGCTCCCCCCTGTTGGGATGGAGTGGTTGCTGGTTGCAGTCATCTGTAATTAATATTGATTGTGAAATTGCCAGAATACATGCTGAAGAAGTGTGTCTTGCCTGAAACATAAACATCAACAATGCAGGCAATATTAAAAAGTCAAATTGGAGTGTGGTCCAAGTCTTTGTTTTTATTATTAACTACATTAAGGATCCTGCAGCCAGTCTTCAAGGTCTAATCATGAGTTGAACATGTTGTGAGGACATGTTGCCATGGAAACAAGTTGTCAGGAGGACTCAAGGGATAACGAAGAAATGTTGAGATGGAGAGAGATGGAAATCATAACACATTATTGGGGAATTGCTCTTTTATGTCCTCCCGAGAACCACATTTCCTGTTAATACTGCCTGTGTCTGCTGTCTGAAAAAAAGTTTTGGTTGTGTCCTCATCCAGATCCACGTGATGTCCCCAAACTAGTCTAATGGGTCTTCTCTTTACCTTACTTAGCCTCTGTCCTGAGTCACAGCGCGTCCGTCTTATTGCTTCACGTGACTTGCCCCAGCCTCCCCCTCCCGCTGTGAATCTCACTGACATGGGAGTGAATCAGCTGCTCCTCTATTAACTGGAGTAATTAACGGGCGAGCTGTTGCTTTCCCTCTGAGTGTATCACAGCTTGCTTTTGTAAATGCATAAACGCACATTGTACATAGACACCCTGTTAATCAACACACTTGCACACATGCACACTAGATATCAATCTGTAACAAAAAGAAAGACATCAAGGGATAGCCTGTCTACTTCTGATAGCTCTCAGAGGCCTTGATGCCAACTCCGTATGCTCTTCATACCAAAAAGGAGACACCCATAGAGAACTGCGGGACTGTATTAGAAAGATATAACGCATAAATAATATGTACGGACTGCATGAGCAAAAAAAAGATGATGACGGTGGAAAACAAGACAGAAGAATGTGGGAATGAGTGAGAGCTAGTAAAGCAGAGTAAAGTGAGGGGATAGAGTGTGTGTGTGTGTGGTTCATAATTTTATATCCCAGTGGGGATTTTAACCTGAATGCAAACCCATCCCAAAAACTGAGGTCCCCATGGGTGAGAGACGCCTTTTGAGGGTTAAGACTTGGTTTTAGGGTTTAGGTTACACTTTGGTTACGGTTAGGGTAAGGGTTAAAGTTAGGCATGTAATTATGATGGTTGAGGTTAGGGTTAGGGGCTAGGGAATGCATTATGTCAATTAGATGTCCCCACAGGGATAGAGGAACAACCGTGTGTGTGTGTGTGTGTGTGTCTGCTGTGGGCCCTTAGGAGCTCTCCTCATGTCTGCTAAACTCTGGACTGCTGTAGTAGATAATGAGTCTTG